GCTATCTTTGATGGAATAATGAGAAAAAGTCTTTTATATATTTTGAAAAACACAATAGGAAATATGTCCCAAACTAGGATACCTCTAGTAGGAAAGAAAAAAAAAAACCTAACAAAGAAAAGAGTCAGTTATTTAGCATTAAATGCAGCAAAACAAATGCAAGACTCATGTGCTGAAAAACTTGAAACATTGCTGAGAGAAATGAGAACAGATCTAAACAAATGAAGAGGCATTCCACATTCATAGACTAAGAGACTGAATATTGTTTAGATGGGCAATTCTCCCCAAATTGACCTGCAGAATCAATATAATCACTATAAAAATTCCACCAAGCAAGACTTCTCATTTCAGCTGTGACATGTAAAGAACTTGGAAGTTGACATGTCTGTCCCTAGAACAAGAAAAAGCTGGACAAACTGAAAACCAATGCCTTTTCTCGGACACATCAGAAAATTGAGGTTGCAGGGCAAACGATCACCCCAAAACCTGGAGAGACAGGTGCATCCCGAGAGACACTGCTGAAACCTGTTTACCTGGAGCAGAAGTAACTGGCAGCAACACTTGGAGGGTCATTTTGAAGAACTGCTAGAGGCTGCATGTGGACCAGCGTGAGAATGGGAAACTGCTGAGGACCGCATTCTTAGGAGCCCCCCAAGTTTTGTGAGCTTTACCTCCAGGAACCACACCAGGTTCTCACAGTAAGGAGGGAGAGAGCTCTCTTCACGGCTCTTGCAGCGAAAGGGGAAGAGCGCCATTGTGAAAGATGCGCAGAGCCTTCTCCATAACAAAGGTCCACTCTCCAGGGATAAAGACTGCCAGAGTTGCACCAGCTTGGGGAAGGGCATCCCCCACTCCAGCCCCCGCTAGCCTTCTGTCTCACCTAAGGAGAAAACAACATAGTCTAGAGGAGTCAGGGCTTCAAGGAAATAAATTGGAATGCCTCAACCAGAGAAGGAACAAACACACCTCCTCCATCTAGCCCAGTGGTTCCCCACCTTGGATCCACCTTAGTATCAGCGGGGGAATGTTTAAAAATCCTGATGCCCAGGATGTACCCAGATCAATCAAGTCAGAAGCTCTGGGAGTGGAACCAGGTATCAGTACTTTTAAAAATGGATCCAAGCCCAATTCACAGCAGGCTCAGATCCACTGAGTCGTGTGACAGAAAACAGATTATGAATTATCTATTTTACAAGTACCAAGTAATCACCAATAAAGAACTCACTATTTCTCTAAGCAATTGTAACTGTGCCATTAATCTTCCTATAAGTGCATTCAACCATTCCTCTACTTTGTTAATTTACTTTGACTTGCACAGAACAGGAAAACATATAATCTGCTCACAGATAATCAAGAGTTGCTTGTATTACCTCCACTGCCATTATTTCTACTCTCGTAAAAATAACCCACCTCACACTTTCATATTTCATTTTAGATCATTTCATAAACTCTATAATTAATCCCAGAGCTTCAGGTGTATAATAAGCGCCATGATGTGTCCTGATATGTGTATTCACTGGATTTGCATTTCTATTCATATCATAACTATATCCAAACTGCACCTGCAGATTTCCTGTATCAGCAGCCATCTGAATGCACACATTTTAATTTCTACTTTAATGCTAGCTCCCAAATTTGAGCAGATGCTTGAAAATACATTGCCACCAGTGTGGGGCACACCAGACCCCATCAATTGTCCTTCATCTCAACCTTATATAAAGTTCCACCACAGAAAAGGGGACTTATCTGACTAATTGATGATCATTGGTCCCATCCCCCACTCCCACTCCCCAACAAACAAAATTTCCTAAAGCTGCTGTGATTCCAAGAACGATCTGGATTGGACCCATAAACAGATTTACCAGGAAGCCAATGAAGCTTAAGCTTCAGGGCCTCTCAGTGTGTATGGGCCTCTTCCAAAGCCCTGGGAGGTGCCCTAAAGGTTTGTATTTGTAATTTCATATTCTCTTCCTTGTGGTAAATGTGTAAGGGTTAGGTCCCACAAATTCTGGATCCATCCATAAGTGGGCCTAATGTAACTTGGCTGCCAATCAGCAGACAAACATAAACTGTTCAATCTTCGTAATGCGAAGTTAACAAGAATTGACTTAGTGTTGTAATCACACCCACAGAATCAGGCTTTTCTTCCCATCCAACAGAGGCACTATTGTTGATTTACAAGCAAAGGGGGCATGATATGGCAGGAAGAGACTGATCCATCTTTGAAAAAGGCAGGATCTAGGTCCTAAAAAGAAACCAGTGAGAAAAAAACCCAGGCTTTTCCAGTGTGTGGAAATTAGGCAGGCTCAGACCCCAGGGGCCAGGCTGGTAACCCTGAGCAGATCCCAGGCCACCTTCACAAATAAAATCAGCTTCCTCTGCCTTCAGGGCCAGGCATGAGCATCTTGTCTAGCCTCCTTGCAAAGAAAATTTTCTGTCCATCTCTTGTTAAATTTGAAATTCCTTTTAATGAAGTAAGAAAGCCTTCCACGCAATAATTAAACAGAAATGGCTTAACACGCCTGGGGTGAATATTTGACAGTGCAATCATTAATTGACAGTTCTACACCAGAGTTGCCAGATTCCTGTGTATTGTGATGGGGGCAGAGGTGGGGGTAGAGAGGTGGGAGAGGATTAAAGCAGGAGGGAACCTGAAGAGGAGCTGGAAATATGGAAACCCACTCTGCAGACTGCATGGCATGGCCAGGTGGTAACTTGTTTCCTGCTATGGGCCAGGACACAGCAGAGCCGCACCACGGGGTGGGCCCATAATGCAGCCATACCAGCAGACAGGAGGCCTGCAAAGACTGATGCCAGCATGAGGTGTTCACCTGTTTACACAACCTTCCTTCCTGCTCACCTCTGCAACTCTCCAGGTCCTAGGGTGCGTTCAGCTCAGCGACTCCTGATTCAGAGAGGGGACATAAAGTTCGGTTTCAGAGTTAACCATTATCTAGACTTCCTTCCTCTGAACACCTGTCCCTCGGGGTCTAGCCCTTCCCAGAGCAACACCATGCTCTCCTTGGCTGGTCAATATGTCCTCCACATGATCTCAGCACTTCCCTGTTTCTGTTCTGAGTTCACCTTCCTCAGCAATGTATGAACTCGAGCTCTTCTGCCACGTTCTCTCAAGCAGGTGGAACCCCTCAGGGCCAGCTCCCCTAAGCGGCTGAGCCCTAGGAATGTACTGGTCTCCACTCCAAAAGAGACCCCCCTTCTTACCACCGTTAGCCACTGCAACTGACCCACATGCGACTTGCTGCCTTTACCGCAGGGCCACAGACACCGCCAAATCCCATTCTTTATCTCCTTTATTTCTAAAATTGAATCATGAGGCTCCAGACCGCATTACAGGCAACATCAACAGCACTGTAAGAAAAGAGAAGGATCAGGCCACCCTGCGCCTAGCAACACTGGCTGTGATCAGTCAGCAGTCCACCCTACTCACTGAAGAGAGCTTTCTTCCTGCGGCCATTTTGGCTGCAGGGAGGTGGGCGGGGGGGGTGCGTGGAGACAGTGGCAGCGAAGCAGGAAGAAAGGCCGCAGAAGCAGCAGTCTTCAGTGAGGAAGACTGGACTGTTTTGGTGACTTTATCCTCTGTGCTCTATCCATTATGCATGGACAAGCCAAAGTCAGAAAGCCATTCTCTAAAGCTCATTAGAACTTGACTGCACTCGCACATGAAAACAAGGACCTCCCCTACCCGCCCTCCAGCAAATGAGGAAATGGGCTCCCCCTGAATTAACAGAAAAACTATTTTCCCTCACAAACCATGTGTATATAGTGAAACCCGCGAGGAAGCTCTGTACTTCACTTTTTCCAAAGACAGACTAGCTTGTGATAAGGAAAGATAGGAGAGGGTCTCAGTGCATCGCAGTTGACTGACCAGCTCTGCTGGGAGTATGGCGAAGACTCCTTTACTGTTTCACCAAAGAAATGTTCATTGTTATAGAATGTAGTCAACAATAGAAGGCAACTGGATTGACAAGACATCAATGTTATTACAATTATAGGCTTGTGTTTTGTGTTATGTTTTGTGTTAGGCTGATGGGACTTTCAGGAGAAGGTTTGGGATATTTGCGGCAAAAAATACCCCAATTTGCCTGACCACATCCAATGCAGTGTGTGTGGCAAAACATTGAAGTAGAATGTCACCAATCTGCAAAGATTTCCATTCAGATGGGATACATATAATTACTATGGTGGTTCATGCTCACTACAGAACATCGCTCTATTCTTACTTCAATGTAGAAAGAATTCACACAGATAGTACCTACTAGTTACTATTGTTGAATATAAGTTCACAGGCTTTAGAAATGGACACCTTTGTGGTAGGTGAACAATGGCTAATGAACAAGATGCACCATCACTCATGATTCTGCACAGGATGATGATCAGCACCCACAGGGTTAGTTTAGGTGAAGATACAGCAAGAAGGCTGTTTAAACCACGTACCGATTTATTTTAACATAATGTCCTCCTTGCACGTGAGAGAAGAGGACAGGGATAATGAATATGATTTTCATCTATTAAAATACTGTGCTTTCATTTTAAGTACTTCTTCTTTATCCTGAAAATCAACTGACAGCAACTCAGAAAGCATCGTGGAGCTACTGGAAATGAGTTATGAGTCAGCTACAGCATGGTTCCCTCCTCCCTCCCCACTCCACAACCTTTTTCCCTCCCACCTTGCATATGCTTTTAGCATTGTACTCAACTAAAAGGGAAACATGTGTTCTTGGTAATTTGGCTAAAAAAGGTTATAGAACTTTATAAAACAACATGGGAGAAATAACACATCCTTGTCTGATACAGAAGTTCTCAAAAGTGTCACCCACAGACGACCTGTGTCTCACCCAGACACACTGACTTAGAATGGGAGCTGGGAATGGGCATTCTTACCAAGCTGCCCAGTGTATCCCCAAGACCCTGGCAGGCGAGGCCCACTGATCTCATATAAGTTTCCATGTGTCTGTACTTGGCTGCTCATCTCTACTCACCGGGTGGACTCCCGTGTCCTGCTGCAGCTGTGGCAATTGCAAAGGCAGAAGCAGGCGAAACAGAGCAGTGGGAGTTGTCAGCCGTCTGTCCTGGTTATTTAAAAAGAATGGAAATGGCACGGTGAGGCAGATGGATAATATTCTGTGATGGAAATTCTCATTTTCATTCCTGCACTGGATGAAGGGTTGGGCCCAATACTCTATATTTTCCTTGTTAATAGGCAAATAATAAGATTCTACATCAGCAAGTCCACTCTAAGTATATACCCAAGAGAAATGAAAACATATGTCCACACAAAACTTATACATGAATATCCATAGCAGCATAATTCATAATAGCCATTATTCATAATAAAGACATTATTCATAATAGCCAAAAAGTAGAAACAATCAACTATCCATCAACTGACAAAAGGGTAAACCAAATGTGGTACATCCATACAAGGGACTATTATTTAGCCACAAAAAAGAATGAAGTACTAATACATACTACAACATGAACAAACCTTGAAAACATGCTAAGTGAAAATCAGTCACAAAAAGCCACATATTGTATGGTTCCATTTATATTAAATGTCCAGAATAGGCAAATCCATAGAGGCAGAAAATAGATTAGTGGTTGCCAGGGGCTGGGGGGAGATAGGAATGGGGAGTGACTACAACGGTTACAGGGTTTATTTTGGGGGGTGATGAAAATGTTCTCGGATAAGATAGTGGCTATAGCTGCCCAACATTGTGAATACATAAAAACCACTAAACTATATACTTTAAGAGAGTGAACTTTATGGAATGTGAATTATATCTCAATATAAAAAAAAATTTCTAAAAATATATTCTACATCATGTCACCAATAGAATTTTCTTCTCAAAACACCTTTAAAAGTAGGGACGCATTCTAAATCCAAAGGATGCACTGAGCACCTTTCTGCAGTCCCTTTCACTCCTCAGATATTTTTTTCATATTTGATAATGCTAATGCAATCTCACTGTTTTTCCTCACTCAGGCTTTTAGTGAAAATAGCTCACTGTGAGTCTGACCTGAAGGGTTTTTATTAGTTTGACCCTAGAGTTACATAGCCATGTTTAAAATCAATAAATAAGTGAGGAAGCAAAGAGCTGCTTAATGTGCCCAAGCACAAAAGCACAGAACAGCTCTACCCTTTCCTTCAGCAGTAGCCTTAAAACATTTGTGGAAAAAGGTGGCAAGTACACAGATGAAGAGACAAAATTTTAGCTCCACAGTGCGAAAATCTGTGCCACTTTCCCCATTTGGATCCTCCATATTATCACAGATTTCAGCTTCCTTTCTATGTTCCTATGTCTCTATGATTTAGGCATATCAAGGAAGAAATAAAGGACTTAGTTAATCCACACACAGGATGAGGATTTCCAAATAATGTTTATATAAATTTAAAAATTTTATCTATGAATATAAATACATGGAAAGAGACTATAACACAGAGCCCTAACAACAGTAACCCAGTGAATAGCATTTCTCTCTTGCCTTGGTAGAGGTTTGCTTCCATGGGCTTTGGCCCCAAACTCTTCCAGGTTATGATGAACTCAAGGGGGTCTGTCCCAAGTGGCAATGGTCAAGGAAGTTACCAAGGCTTTGAGTGACCAAGGCTCTCAGAATAGTAAAGAGACGAGGCTAATTCCACGTTCCCTATAACAAGCTAGGGAAGTCTAGCTTGTCACCTTCATTTATGAGAACCACCCAAACATCAGAATGACCCATGATTGACCAGGAGCCTGAAATCAGTCCACTCCCCAAGGGCTAATATCCATCAGGGCACATCTTCTGACAATAGCCTGACCCAGCCTAGTTTCTCTTGCAGCTGATGGCAATAACAATAGCTTCCACCATGCAGCTAAGGCCACAAATGAAACAACCATTTGGAGCCATGCACTCGATCTTTTGCTGAACTGCCCTACTTGAAGCAGGAGAGTAAGAGCCAAAAAATGTCTACATTTAATTTGGGTTACTAGGAGTGAATTTGGTTTTGTAACTGAATAATTTTCCCTTCTGCATTGAAATAATTGGCTTGAGGAGAAAAAAGGAAATATTTCAAAAACAACCGTTATTTGGATATATCTATTTGAGCAATGGGGAGATAAAAGACTTGTACATTTTGTTCTGATAGTTTTTCCTCCAATTAGAAGACATTTGGTATGTTCTAAAACAAATTATGGGAGAATGCTTTATAATTTTCGTAACTATAGAAAATATACCCGTTTCTGCCACTGGTATATATGATGCAATAATGATGACTGGGGTCCCATGCAACTGGACCTTATTTTAGGTGAAATAGTGTTCCTAATAAGGCCCCCTCCAAATTTTGGTGTCCCAGACAAGCCTATTCAATACAGACTACATTGGAATTCATGGTAAGGTATCAGAGTCTGGGAACAGTTTGGTAAAACCAGCACTGAGATTCTTCAACTACCAATCACCTAAGAACAGGCCTCTTGATTCATGTTACTCCACACAAAGTGTAACGTAATGATGGAGACAAATAAATATTGTTTATGCTGATGTCATATTCTCCAATCATTTATTTTTCCACTATTTGGTCCTACAGTAACAATATTTGCTTCCAACTAATTTTCATAACTGAGACTAAAAAATATTTTGAGAATGAAACAGTAAAGCAAACAAAAGGCTCAGGAGTTGGAGATCATCTTTCCCTCTTAGATTTCTGAGTCCCTTTCCAAGCCTCACCTACAGGCTGGCGATAGCGGAGGTGTCGAGGAGTCGAGGGTGACCTGCTAGGTGAAAGTTCTGGGGCATCCGCCGCCGGGGAGCTTTCCACTCCTGCTCGGTCCACTGGTGCAGACTCTAGCACTGCTGCTTTAAAATATCATGCATTTTAACAACCAGGCCATGAGTTCAAGAGCTTCTTGTCAGTATCATGCATAGAAACACAAAAGTTAGTTATGGATAATAAGCATTTCATATTAGTCTATATTTTTAAAGGGTTTTAACATGAAATTGAGTCATTCCTCCTGGCAGAACGCTAACGACACTAAAGCTAAACATGGATCTTCTCTACCTCATCTTGCCGACCCTGCTGAGCCTGGTTGGTCCTACCAAGCCCCTCTCTGTTCAACACAGCAGCAGGTGCTAAAAAGAACAGGGGATATGCAGTGGGTCCCCCGCCCTCCAGAATGTTTCTGCCTTCCTAGAGTGAGGAGAGAGGGACTTTTCCAGATTGTAAATCAAAATTGGGACTTCACTGTTCTTTGCTTGGGTTGCCCCCTTTCACCAACTAAAGTTTGAATCTCGACCACTGTGACCCCCAAAGAAGCTTTGGGGGCACCTAAAGATCTAGAGCTGCACTGTTCAAAAGGGTAGCACTAGCCAAATGTGGCTAGGTAAATCTAAATTAAAATTAACTACAGTTAAATTAATATTTCAGTTCTTCCCTTCCACTAGCCACATTTCAAGTGCTCAGAAGTCACCTGTGGCTAGCAGCTGCAATATTGAAGAGCACAGAGAGAACATTTCCATCCTCCCAGAAAGTTCTATTGGATAGCCCTGATCTAAGGCTACAGAACAGCAGAAGGCAAGTGGAAATTTTTACAATGAACAGTTGGGAGGTTTTAAGACCATGTGAGTGTCTTCACTGCAGCTAACATCCCATGAATAAAAGAAACATCATTCTAGGGTCGCAGTTAGGCTGTTACCATACCCCTCCCACTGCCTATTAACCAGGTAAAACTACAACTTTGTGTGTGTTCTTTCGAGGGAAAGCACTACAAAAACTTCATCAATTTCCAACAACTCTTCTATTTCTTTTTCCTTGGGCTTTTCATTAACCAATAGAAGCTGTGTCACCTCCACTAATTTTATATTAGTGTCAGCAGAACTACTCTCAACTCAGCTCCCTTTGCTAGGCCATTCAAGATGTCACTCAATAAACTTTACAGACTCCCTAATGACTTCATACAAAGCCATTTTTACACTTGCAAGTGATTTACTCCTTTTGAAATATGGCCACAATTCTGCTCTTTTGAAATGCAAAAGGGCCAGGGAAGGGAAATGGTTAGACTCTTTCCTTGAATGACATAATTACAGCAAAGCCGGCAATGATGCATAATGCAGACAAAAAAATCCGTGCTTAGCTGTTAGTTTTATTATTTTCTAAATAACTTCCTCAAAATTCAGTAATGGAAGGCATCTGCTCTGCAAGAGCAAGCAGAATATCAAACGCACGTCCTTGGTCTGATTCAACCATTCAGTCCTCTGAGGCAAATGAGAAAATCATTTAGTCAGCAGTTATGTTGAACCCAAAAAACTTCCCAGCGAGAGAGCTGGACAGGCCCCGAATGTTCACTGAAAGAAGAGGAAAGCAAAGAATAACACTGTAAGCAACAGGCACCCACAGCGAGGAGAAACCACGCGAGCATGGTGGGGGGGAAAGCAGCATTCCCCTCTGGCATGTTCACTTTCAGTCAAGTTCCATGCAAAGAGCTTTGTCTGCAGGACGAGTGGGCAGATGCGGGCTCAAAACAAACGCTAAAATTGGGAGCACTTTCAGCCCACAGGCAGGCAATTTTCAAACTAAGGACACAGAAACAGACGCTAGAGCTGCGGGCTGCACCGCCATGGCCCAAGTGAACCCTGATGGAGTAACGGGCCTAAATGCAGCGAGCCGCCCTATGGCTCTCCTTTCTTGCCTGCCATTGGCTTGATTTTTGTTGAGATCCCACCATTGGGTGGAATCTGGATGAGAGTTGGGCTGATATTTGTGCTTTTTAGAAGAACCCAGGGAAGAAGAAGGAGGGGACTGCCTGGTAGGAAGAAGGCGGGGCACTAACACATGTTGGGTGAGCCTGGAATAGATCTTGGGACTGGGTGGGGAGAAATAAATTGCATTATTTTTTCCCTGAGAAGTTCATAGTCTTGCTCATTTTGAGGGATATTTCCTATTTCTCTTCTTTCCCTTCATGTCATTTGAAGTTCTCTTGCCAGGAAATATTGCAAATCTGGCATTACAATTGCAGAGTCAATAAAATTGGACAAAAGTCACTAGCATTTTTCAAAAAGCATACCCTAAAACTGGCTAGCTAGACGGCAGTGAGAGAGCCTCAGCATGGACCTAATAGGCAAAGCTGGTGTTATGCAATGAGGTTGTGTGGAGTTGTATCCTGAAGGGAAAAGCAGAAAATGTATAAACTCTTGGCACAGGATTCTTATTCAAGTTTGCCAACTGTTTTAAGTGTTAACATTATGCAAGGCACACGCAAACATCTTTCAAATTAAAGACAGATCAGTGTCTCCCTTTCTTTGCCAGTTGGAATTTTTAAGACGAGACAGCAGAGTTAACACAGCAGCACTCTTGGCTTCTACAGACATTGTGCACGCACACACACAGACACACACACACACACAGAACTTGTCAGACTGACACTGAAGAAAAGTGTTTCACCCATGACTTTCCTAGGACTATTCGTGACCAATATTGCCCGTATTCCAATGCAAAAAAAAACAAAGTCTCTGATTCCTTTGTTTCACCTATTCAGAAAGATGCCAAAGAGCTCCCTAGCCCCCAGTATTAATTCTAAGATTTCTACTCAGTGTCTCCTTTATGAAGAGCCACAGGATAAATTGTTCTCAAGTTTCAGTAGCAGGAAAAGATGTGCCTGCACACCAGTCTATTCTTAGCTTTCAATATGAATCATGTAATTGATTACATTCAGAACCAAAATCAGGACGAGGCCAGGAACTGCAGAGGACCACACAGTATTCCTTTGTTCACTAACCATACCCTTTTTTTTCACCCAGTTTTTCTCCATTGCCTGATTTCCTTATCTATTTTATTTTTAATCCAGTTGTACCATGTGCCCTTTTGAAGTACCACCTTAAATACTTTTAAGAACAAGATGGGAAGTAAATACGTTAAAAGTAATCAAAAGACAGCTACAGAAAGGGAGGTGAAATAAAGATGAAAAGAAGTGGCCAAAAACAAAGTGCTTAATGGAAGGATTGGGGGCGACAATCATGATAAAAATGAGAGATAAGGGGGGACATGTCAGTGGGTGGATGTGACTAAGAAACATTGAGGGCAGAGGAGCTGACATCTCTGGAGTAGAGGTTGGCTCTGATGGGCTTCATCAAGTGCCATGGGCTCCGTGTGGACCCAATCTTGGAACTTCCCCATCCCCAGAGTGAGAGGAGCTCTGCATTTAACTGTGACCTGGAACCGCAAAATGACATTTCTAACCCGTGAACTAAGTGGATAAACTAACCCTTGAAATTCTAACGGCAAATCATTTGTTTTGGAGAAATCCAGTGAGAAACAGAAGCAATAAGCCCTCAACATTAGCTATTTCTCTAATGTGAGAGACAATCTAATATTTCTGCCACACCGTTATTCACAGGCCCTCTCTGTCTGCTGGCCCTGGTCATAAATGATCGATGCTGCCACAAGACAAGCTCTCCAGCCACCGCTAGCTGTGTCCACAGTGATCCCACCCCTGTCCAACACCTGCAATGACAGGTCGTTGCCGCCTTTGTCAGTGTCCTTCCCTGGGAGGCTGATCCAGTTCTTTCTCATTTATCTTGGTCTCCCTGCGTCTAACCTTCTTCCAGCTTATTGCTCCAGGGAAAAAATTACTCATTCCTCTCAGTAACCACACCTCTATCCTAGACAGTAGGCCAAGCAGATTTTATGATGTGGCATTGGATCATCGTTACATACTCCGGGCTTTGAAGACGAGAACTAGGGAACTTGGTGACCATCATGGAACAATCCATGTGTAACAAGTTAAAGTGGAAGAATTAATTATGATAGTCAATAGGCAGCTTGATTGAGGACCTCTAGAACTACAATATGTATTTTGTCTGTGACACAGAAAAGAATCAATTTTTCTTTTGCTTCTCTATTAAAGACAAAAGTTAATATCCATACTACTAAGCCTTAGCCAGACTGAAATGCAATCTCTGAGAAATTACAAAAAAGAAGAAAGATTCTCACCTCACACCCGTTAGGATGGCCACTATCAAAAGAACAGAAAATAATAAGTATTGGCAAGGATGAAGAGAAATTGGAACCCTGTGCACTGTTGGTGGGAATATAAAATGGTGTAGCCACTGTGGAAAACAGTCTGGAAGATCCTCAAAAAGTTAAAAATAGAACTACTATATGATCCAGCAATCTAACTTCTGGGTATATTTGCATAAGAATTGAAAGAAGGATCTTGAAGAGATATTTGCACATCCATGTATATTGCGGCATTATTCACAATAGCCTAGAGGTGGAAGCAACCCAAATGTCTATCAGTGGATTAATGAATAAAGAAAATACAGAATATATATAAAATGGAATATTATTGAGCCGTTAAAAAAGAGGGAAATCCTGGCACATGCTACAACATGGATGAACCTTGAGACAATATGCTAAATGAAATAAGCCCGTCACAAAAACACAAATACTGTATGATTCTACTTATATGAGGTATCTAAAGCAGTCAAACTTATAGAAACGAAAAGCAGATCATGGATGCCAAGGGCTGGGGGGCAGGGAGAAATGAAGAGTTGCTCAATGGGTATAGAGTTTCAGTTTTGCAAGACGAAAAATTTTAGAGATCTGTTGCACAACAATGTGAATATACTTAACACTACTGAACTGTACACTTAAAAACAGTTATGATGGCAAAAAAGAAGAAGGAGGAGGAGGAGGAGGAAGAAGATTTTTTAGGAGAGTTTAAAAAAAAGTTTCCTCAATGCTCAAAAGCCCTAGGAAGACTAGTAAGAGGGTCTGCTCTACAGGGCTGCACAGGGCATCAGACCTGGACAACAGCTGTCCCTTCAGAAGCAGTGATGTCTCCTGCTCTCAGAAATGGCTTTCACTGCTGGGGGTGGACATCAGCCCTTCGCTCATATGTTCCCTTTGCCCATAAGTTCACCCATCTCCAACTCACTTATCCATTCTTCTTGGTTCATGTCAACGACACTTCCCGATTCTGCTCAACTAGACATGATCTCCCCTGCTTTTCACCTTCCAGATCACTCTGTCTATACCTCCTGCCATCTGCCCTTATAGTTATGTGGTGTCTACCTTCTCCACATACCTAGTGTATAAGGGGCCAGGGCACCATCTTATTTTCCATTATGGAGCCTGTAGCACAGCAACCCGCACAGAGAAGACGGTCACGTGATGACTCCTGAACAGACTTTACTGTGTTCTCATCCCAGCCCCAGGGGCGATCAAACCAAAGCCTCAGAGCCACGAATGTCTGACACTAACATGCTTATTCCTAAAGCTCTCCTAACCCAAAATACCATGAGAATCTAGACTTGTCTCCAGATTTCTCCTCTCCTATCTACTACAATCCAATACAGGAGGGGAAAGAACTTCCTATATTCTGGGAAATTCCTGTACTTACTCCCTAGGCCACCCTGCCCCAGAGGGGAGGTCTGAGATAAGCCTTCCTGAGTCATTCCCTCCGCGGAGGTTCCCAAGCGTTGGCGCTGGATCCAGCCCCAGGCGCACCTGTCAGCTCGTGCGCCGCCTCACTATTCCCGAGAACAATCATCCTGCTTCTGCTGAAGCTTGTTGTTCTAATGACTTTTTAACTGTCTTGCCCCTTTCCTCCTCCTTACTTGCTAACTTGTCAATTTAAAGAATTTCTTGTTTAAAAGAGTACTACTTCTGATGATGACAACCACTCCAGTTAAAATTCCATTAAGTACTTCACTCAGGAAGCTGATTTAAACAATCTGAGCTAGAAAGTACATAGAAGCTTCAAGCAGATAGAAAAGCAAGGGTCTATGCATCCATCTGGGTGATCTTCTTTGAAATGTGGATACTTTATCTGATTTATTGCCCCATTTTTACTATGTTATCAGCAAATCAGTTATTATACAGCAAAAAAAAGCTGTTTGCTAGTTTGGCTGGGAAACCTTTTTTATTTTCATCACAGAAACACTGGATTATAAAAGCAACAAGGATCACCCCCTCCAGCCCCTACATTGTACCAAGCCGAGGAACGTAAGGCAACGTGCCACAGGACCCTCCATTAGTTACTGAGTGTTGTGCTTGATTCATTCATTTAACAAAAATTTACTACCTGCCAGGCACTGAGGGTACAGAGGTGAGCAAGACAGACAAGACCGCTGATCTCATGAGCTTACATGGGGAAAGACTGTCCAGGCAGAGAGACGAACAAACGCAAAGGCCCTGAGGTGGAAATGACTGAGGTGTTTCTGAGACACAAAAAGGAAATCAACGTGACAGCAGCCGAGTAGGTGAGGAAGCACGGCAGAAGCAGGGGCTGGAGGGACAGACAGGGTAGAGGTGTCACAGGATCTGAAGCCTCGGGAGGGAGAATGCACTTTGTTCTAAGTGGGATGGGAAGTCATTAGAGACTTTAATCAGGAAACCATATGATCTAATCCACATTTTTAAAAACCATTTTGGCTGTGTCATGGACAATGAACACTGCCTCAGATTTTATTTTTCTCCCTATATCTCTGTTGTAATACGGAGCATTGCCTTGGTAACTAAACAGAAGAAACCACCTTAACGCTTCCAAGCTGGGTCGTCCTTAGTAGGGACGGGGGTTGCTAAGCAGTACAGGTGCTCAAGGCAGACACTGGAGGAGGGGAAGGCTCTGAGGCTCACGCTCATGGATGAGGGTGCCCACAACCTACCTTTATGCAAAGCATCATGTTGGGCTCTTTCGCCAACCAGCCTTAATCAAATTCCACAAAGAACCTTCTAGTAAAACCATTCAGATAACACCATTCTTCCACAGACAACCGACTACAATCAGCCTTTTACTATAGAAGGCATAAGGACAGCTAACCTTGCTCTCCGTTCCACGAAGGCTAGAGGAAACTACAGGAATTTTCTCTTCTAACTAGCAATTGTGTTCATTCTACTTTCTATGCAGATGAAGGAAAGTCAAAAAGAAAGGGAACTAGGGTTCCAGAAGGGATGGCAAGGAAGCAGGTGGCCAGCAAACGTGGGGTGTGGCAGCTGGGTAATACCTCTTTGAATACTTCGCTTTAGCTTGTTACACAGATCCACGCGGGGGTTATCTACATGCTCTTCTACAGATCCCGGGCTTTGTTCTGGAGAAGAAAGGCCTCTGCTAAGATCCAACGGTACTTTACCAGTGTGTGGTGGAGGGGACGCAGCAGGGCTTTGGGTGGTGGTAGGACTGCTGGACGTCGAGGAGGTGGTCAGGTCCAGTGCTCCTATCCTTGAGTTCAAGGGAGAAGTCAAGGACAGCTTTCTGGCCCTCACTGGGGAGGACGTTCTGGACACAGCCAGTGGTGGTGGGGAAGAGAATTTGCGACACAGGCGTGGGGATTTGCCATCCACCAAATGTTCACCTCTGTTATTCTGGCTGGTAGCAAAAAACAATTCCAACGACCTAAAAATAAGAGCAAAAGCTTTAACAGATGTAGCTAAGTGAAAACGATTCCCCCGATGTCATTCAAGAACACGTTCCTTACATTAAAAGGCCACAATATCATCACACTTCTGTTGCTGGATTCTCCTTCTTAAGTGCTACTTATATACCACACACTTGCCAAAGGATAACAGACACTTCCTTTTTAATCTCCCCCAACCTAGTTTTATTGACAAACAATTGACATACATCACTGTATAAATTTAAGGCGTATAGCATAATAGTTTGATTTACACATACTGTGAAATGATGACAATAGGGTCAGCTACCATCTGTCTTCTCACATAGATACAATAAAAAGAAAAAGAAAAGAAAACGCGAAAAAATACTTCTTGTTGTGATGAGAACTCTTACGATTTACTCCCTTAACAACCTTCCTATATATCATACAGCAGTGTTAGCTGTAGCCATCATGCTGTACATTACACCCCTAGAACTTACTTATCTCACAACTGGAAGTTTGTACCTTTTGACAAAGGTACAAAGGCTCCTCCCATCCTCCACCTCTGGTAACCAAAAATTTGACCTATGAGTGTGGGTTTTTGGTTTTTTTTTTTAGATTCTACATATAAGCAAGATCATACGGTATTTATCTTTCTCTGTCTGACTTATTTCACTTAGTATAATGCCTTCAAGGTCCATCCATATTGTGGCAAATGGCAGGATTTCCTTCTTTTTTATGGCTGAATAATATTCCATTGTATATATATATTACAACTGCTTTACCCATTCATTCATCAATGGACACTTTGGTTGTTTCCATGTCTTGGCTTGTAAATAATGCTGTTATGAACATGGGGTGCAGGTATCTTTTTGAGTTAGTGTTTTCGTTTCCTCTGGATATATTCCCAGAAGTGGAATTGCCGAATCATATGTTAGTTCTATTTTTAAATTTTTGAAGAGCCTCCATACTGTTTTCCCTAGTGGTTGTACCAATTTACAATCCCACCAACAGTGCATATGAGTTCTCTTTTCTCCACATCCATGCCAGCATGTGTTATCTCTTGTCTTTTTGATGATGGCCATTCTAACAGGCATGAGGTGATATCTCATTGTGGTTTTAATTTGCATTTCCCTAATGACTAGTGATTTTGAGCATCTTTTCACATACGTGTTGGCTTTTCATATATCCTCTTTAGAGAAATGTCTATTCTGGTGCTTTGCCCATTTTTTCAATTGGGTTATTTCTTTTTTTGCTATTGAGTTGTATGAGTTCTTTATATATTTTGGATTTTAACACCTTATCAGATATATGGTTTGCAAATATTTTTTCCCATTCTGTATGTTGTCTTTCCACTTTGTTGATGGTTTCTTTTGCTGTGCAGAAGCTTTTTAGTTTGACGTAGTCCCACGCATTTATTTTTCATTTTGTTGCTTGTGCTTTAGTTGTCATATCCAGAAACTCATTACCAAGAGCCATGTCAAGGAGCTTTATTCCTATGTTTTCTTTTAGGAGTTTCAGGTCTTACATTTAAGTTTTTAATTCATTTCAAGTTAACTTTCGTGAGTGGTGTAAGGTATGAGTCCAGTTTCATTCTTTTACATGTGAATATCCAGTTATCTATCTCACCACCATTTATTGAAGAGACTTTTTCCATTGAGTATTCTTGGCTCCCTTGTCAAATATCAGTTGAGTGTATACTCTTGGGTTTATTTCTGGGCTCTCAATTCTATTCCGTTGGTCTATTTGTTTGTTTTTACCCCAGTACCATACTGTTTTGATGACTACAGCTTTATAGTATAGTTCAAAAATCAGGAATTGTGAGGCCTCCTGCTTTGTTCTTCTTTCCCAGGGTTTCTTTGGCTATTTGAGGTCTTTGTGGTTCCATATAAATTTTAAAAGTGTTCTTTCTACTTCTAAAAAATGCCACTGAAATTCTCATAGGGATTGCATTGAATCTATGGATGGCTTTTGATAGTATTGATATTTTAACAATATTAATTATTTCAATCCATGAATGTGGGATACCTTTCCATTTATATGTGTATTCTTCAATTTCTTTCATCAACGTCTTGTAGTATTCAGAGTAGAGATTTTTCACCTCCTTAGTTAAATTTATTCCTAAGTATTTTATTGTTTTTGATGCTATTGTAAATGGGATTGATTTCTTTATTTCTTTTTCAGAAATTTCATTGTTAGAGTATAGAAATACTGTTGATTTTGTATTTAATTTTGTATCCTGCAACTTTACTGAATTCATTGACTAGATATAACAGTTTTTTGGTTGAGTCCTTAGGATTTTCTATATATAAAATCATATCCTCTGCAAATAGAGACAATTTTAATTCTTCCTTTCCAATTCTGATACATTTTATTCCTCTTTCTTGCCTGATTTCTCTAGCTAGGACTTCCAGTACTATGTTGAATAGAAGTGGTGAGAGTGGGCACCCTTGTCTTGTTCCTGATCTTAGAGGAAGAGCTTTCAGTCTTCTACCACTGAGTATGATGTTAGCTGTGAGCTTGTCACATATGGCCTTTATTCTGTTGAGACATGTTCCTTCTATGTCTAATTACACAGATATTTTTCAGGCCTTGTCTAGTCCCTCGCTACTAAGCTGTGGTCCAAAGCCCAGTAACACTGACATCTCTGGGGAGCTTGTTAGAAATGCAGAGCTCAGGCTCCACTCCAGACCTAGCAATTTAACAAGACCCTCAGGTGATTCTTAAGTATATTAAAATTTGAGGGCCGGCCCCGTGGCTTAGCGGTTAAGTGCGTGCGCTCTGCTACCGGCGGCCGGGGTTCGGATCCCGGGCGCGCACCGACGCACCGCTTCTCTGGCCATGTGAGGCCGCGTCCCACATACAGCAACTAGAAGGATGTGCAACTATGACATACAATTATCTACTGGGGCTTTGAGGAAAAAAAAAGGAGGAAGATTGGCAATAGATGTTAGCTCAGAGCCAGTCTTCCTCAGCAAAAAGAGGAGGATTAGCACAAATGTTAGCTCAGGGCTGATCTTCCTCACAAAAAAATAAAACAAAATAAAATAAAATTGGAAAAGCACCATTTAAAAAATAAAATAAAATAGAAAAGTCTAAAACAATAGAGTTAGCTTCCAAATAATCACAGAGCAAGCAAAGGCCACTTGGAGACTTCCGAGTTCTCAACTTCTTCCCTCAGGAACTATGTGACCTCTACTCACCCCCTTCTACTGTCAGGCCATGGTAAATTCAAAGGCAAGCCAGTGCCCTAGAGCTGCCCCCGAGTGGGGCTGCTCATCTGCTCGGAGAACCAGGAATCAGGAAGGCCATACTTTCATGACAAGGAAATCCTGGCCTACCTGACAGGGATGGAGGTGAAAGGCCTCTTGTATATGTCAGAAAGCTTCGCCAGCACCACAGCTGCGGTAGTGAAAATCCGATAGGTGTGCAGAAAGGTGTTGAGGAAATCGATACTAAGAAACCGCAAGTCTGTCAGCCGCTCCAAGAGGCGCTCCACGCTGGCATAACGGATCTGGGGCACTTTGCAGGAGTTGAGTGTTTTACTGAAGCAAATGTCAGTATCATCCTTATGAAGACGGGCGTCAGACCTACGCACAAAACAAGAACATGAGAACCAAACCAGGAGGTGGCTTCTCAGCCATTGAGTATTTCAGTATTTGTAAACACACAGTTGTGTGTGGGCTTCCCATTGCATTTGATAAAGGATGTTGATATGACATATTACATACAATAAGGCAGGGCTATAAAAACATCAAATATGCCATTATAACTTAGGAAGGTCAGAATTAATTGTGGAGATGGTAATAATAATTTATTTCACTCTGGGGATTCCTTCTGTAGGGGAGGAAAAATAATTTCCCCTCTACTCTTCTGAGTTCTCAGCTGAGACCCCTGTAATAAAAGACAGATTAACAAGAGAAAAGCAAAAAGAAGTTTATTAACATGTATACCTTATGCATGCATGCGAGATACCCAAGGAAAAATGGATAACTCCCTGAGGTGGCTTAGAATTCAAACTTAAATACTATCTTAATAGGGGAAGAGATGTAGGCCTCTTAGGGGAGCGTAAGTGATTTTTAGGAAAGATGAATGGGCCCTCAGAAGAATAGATGGGAGGTGTGATAGTTTGTGACAGTTTGTCTGGGTGTTGTGTCGACTTCTAGTTTCCTCTCCTGTGACATGGGTCCATCCTCCCTGGCTGATGAAACTCCACGAGAGGGGACTTATGACAATTGAGTTCCTTTTGGAGGATCTATCTGTAGGCAGATAAGGGGAGTTCAGAGAAAGATCCTCCCTGCATTTGCTGTTTTTCAAGTGCCTACAGCTCAGAATAATTAATATACCAAAGGTCCATATTTTGGGCTGGCATATTCTGCTACCCTTCACTTCTCTCTCCAGTTCAGTTACATTTTAATAGGGAAATGAAACCAAATCCCCATTTAGGAGGGGCATTGCTAATGCCCTTAAATCAGAATATCAGAAGTGTGCAAAAAGTAACGGATGACATTCTCCTCACACAGAGGTAGGGGGAGGAAGGGACACAGATGTCACTGCTATATCTGTGGTATTTATTTTTCCCATTTCTAATTGTGTGCATTTGTGCTTCCCCCCTTTTCTTGACTAAACTGACTGATAGATTGTATTATTAAGTATTTTTCCCTCTGGAACTGGCTCTTTATCAATTCTACTGTTTTTCTATATTTTATTAATGTCTGTTCTTATCTTATTTCCTTCCTACAGTTTCCTAGTTTATTTTGTCATTCTTTTTCTAACTTCTTGAGTTGAATACTTAATTCATTTCATTCTTCCTGGCTTATTAACTCATGTAAGGCTATCCATTTTATGAGCCCAGGTTAATCCATAAGTTGTGCAAAACATTATGTTTTCAATATTCTGCAGTATTAAAAATATCATCATTAACAAAAAATAGTAATGGGCCCGGCCCCATGGCATAGTGGTTCAGTGTGCTCTGCTTCGGTGGCCTGGGGTTCACGGGTTCGGATCCCAGGTACAGACCTACCCCACTCAACAGCCATGCTGTGGTGGTGACCCACACACAAAATAGAGGAAGACTGGCATGGATGTTAGCTCAGGGTGAATCTTCCTCAGCAAAAAAAAAAAAAAAGTAATGGGTGAAATATAGGCCATGAACCCTTCTAGAGATTCTCTGTGAATAGCACACATCAAGGCTCTACTACTTCTCATTCGGTAAAACCTGCCATCTGGCTGCTCCTCACCCTGACCGGTGCATGGGAAGCCTGAGCAGCCTCTCCAGGTGGCTGAGTGAACTTGGGGGAAGGTTCACATAGCAGCCCTTACGACCCTTGGCTGCACTCAGAGCCCTCAGCCAGTGGTGCACATTTGTTAGAAAGGGCAAAAGAGGTTGGCAGAGAGGCAAAGTTTGGTAGAGGAAAAGCTTGGAAGTAGAAGCTGAATCCAACTGGGGCTCAAAGAAATGCATACCTTCTCTAGGACTGCCTGGAACCTTCCCCCTCCCTCCTGAGATCCCTCATTCCCCTTCATTGCAGCATCTCAGAACAGGCCATCAATGAGTCCTGGATTTCACCACTTGATAAAGGATACACTACAGGGCTGGTGACACTCAGTGAGGCAACGGCTTGCTAAGAACCAGCCGGCTTGTTGTGAATGCCCTTAATTAGTCCTTTCAGCACTTGCGGGGATTTTAAATTATATATTTATCTCCTTTTGGATAAAAAAGAATCAATATCTTTCTTAGCTTGCTCTTGAAAACTTCCCACCCCAAAGTATGCTCAGTGCAGGTGGAAGTACCTCATTTGTGGACCTGAAAGAGCATCTTAAATGAGCAGCTCCCCCTGCCGAGGGGCTAAGAGTAGCCTGTTAGTTTTGGTCACACAACTGATCTTGAAAACACACAAGTGCGTCTTTTGATATTCTTGAAAATAGTGTGGCTCTTTCTTCCACTCACTATGTGGCCCTCTACCAACTTCACTTTTCTGGTTCTTAATTTTCTATTTTGTAAAAAGATCTTAGAAACTTCTACGAATCGGTCTGTCTAGAAGATGGCTGATAGAGGTAATCACTTTTTCTCTCACCATTTTCCCACCAAAAATCTCAATTTTCTAAGAAAGTTGAGGTCAACTATTATTAAAAGAAGGTAAGCCTTAACCTATATACATAAAATGTAAAACACCACTGAAAGGGATATTTTCACCTAATAAATGTCATGATTTTTCATTCTAATTGTAGTTTTGAGCTTTGCATCTTTTGACTATAATTACTTTAATCAAAACACCACGAGTGGGGCCGGCCCAGTGGTGCAAGCAGTTAAGTGCGCACGCTCCGCTTCGGTGGCCTGGGGTTCGCGGGTTCGGATCCCCGGTGCACACCAACGCATCACTTGTCACACCATGTGGTGTGGGGCGTCCCATATAAAGTAGAGGAAGATGGGCACAGAAGTTAGCTCAGGGCCAATCTTTCTCGGCAAAAAAGAAGAGGATCAGCATAGGATGCTAGCTCAGGGCTGATCTCCCTCACACACAAGAAAAACAAAAACACTAGGAGGAAAAATATGTTGTAGCCAACTTGAAATTAAAATAAAACTGACTAATTACACCACTGTCCTTCAAAATTGTGATTACATTTTCATTTTAAGAAAAGAAATTAAATATTATGAAATTATTTAATTGTCTTTTATTACACCGAACAAGATCTTACTTTATTTCCTAAGGGAGTCTCAAGAAAGATATAATGCATTATTTAAGCCTCCTATGATAATAACTCGTTTTTGGTAAACACTTAAAAAAGCAATCTCGAGACATTAAACTCAAATCACCTATTATAATTAGTAAGTTTTAAAAGGAGGTAAGTGCCTGCAAAGAGATGCCATGTCACTAACAAGACACAATTAAGACAGGATAATTTTTTCTTCTAACTCTGCAAAATGTCTTTTTTTTTTTTCATGGTATGTAGCCAGAGAGATGCACAGGGAGGCAAGAATACAGAATTTAGGGTAGAATAGGGCCATGGAGGAAACCATCAGAAGGAACAGAGATTGCAAAATCATCCTCTTCTCTGATTGAGGAGAACCAGGCTCAATGAGGCAGAGAAAAATAGAAGGAAGAAATATATGAAACATATGAGACTTTGCCTTGGGAATACACCTAGCATAGTTTACATGTGCATCAAAACATGTGTGACTGTAATAGAAAATCCCTACAGCCCGAGACACAGGTTTCTGTGCTTGCAGGAGAGCAGTGCCTACTTATTTTAAGTGTCACCTCTGTGCACCCAAAAGCAGGACAGTCTTGGTCCATACAAGAGGTAGTTATACAAAAAAGACTGGACATGGACACTAGTCAAACTGTCACCATAGCGGACAGAAGATGCATTCGGGCACCAGGCATAACCAGTCAGGCATAAAACTAAAGCTTTTATCCATATTAATTTTTAAAGTCAACAAAATGTATGTATAGTGGGTGTGCAGCTGCCCTAAGGATTAGAAACTTATAACTTGGCTGCAACATCCAACTTACATATTCTCGTTCTAAAGCACCTGGACTTTCATGGCTCTCTAATCTTCAAGTACTTTTAAAAACAAATAAAAATAATATATATTATTTTGTGAAATATTAAAGAATCCTATGGTAGAATAATAAGAAGAAATAATATAATAATAAGAAATAAGAAGACAATTCTAACCCAATGACATGAATTTTAAAATTGTCATAATTTGAACTTTTGACTTAACATTCCATTCTTGGTTTTAATCTTAGCATCATACATTTTTAACTAATCTGGTTTTTAAAAAACTATACTAAATTTAAAACCTAGAAAACTGAATGCTAAAGATTTTTGCCCTAGAGTTTTAAAATGATCCTACCCAAAATATTTTTAAATTTGACTAGTAATTTAAAATACTATCATTCTTTTATAATTTATTTTTTTTCTGTAGTAATTGTGGCACTAGTGTAATGTACTCTACCTTCATCTGATACAATAATTAATAAATTTTAAAATTTGTACCATTGGGATAATGCCAATTATAGTTAATACCTACCAGAAGAGGAAAGCTAATGTTGTTTATTGCTTTAGCATAAGCAGCTCAGACCTAAAAATATCCACATAAAAAGGCATGGAAGACAAACATTTTCTTAGTTTCATGTAGCTTTTTTTGAAAGATATAACAGGACTTCTTTTAAAAATATATTTTATTCTTAGAATTTGGAAGGCAAATAACAAAGAAAATGAGAGTAGGGGACAATTTGGTCAGCTTCAAAATACTCCCAAAACAATTTCTGAATTCGGAAACAAGAAAGTATATAGAGACAAAAGGATTAATACAGAGAGCTATGGCACATCATTATTAACATAACTGCTCATTTTAAACTATAGCTTCCCGGGGCCAGCCCTGTGGCTGAGCAGTTAAGTGCGCGCGCTCTGCTACTGGCGGCCCGGGTTCGGATCCCAGGCACGCATCGACGCACTGCTTCTCCAGCCATGCTGAGGCGGCGTCCCACATACAGCAACTAGAAGGATGTGCAACTGTGACATACAACTATCTACTGGGGCTTTGGGGAGAAAAAGGAGGAGGATTGGCAATAGATGTTAGCCCAGGGCTGGTCTTCCTCAGCAAAAAGAGGAGGATTGGCATGGATGTTAGCTCAGGGCTGATCTTCCTCACAAATAAATAAATAAATAAATAATAGATAATAATTTTAAAATAAATAAATAAACTATAGCTTCCCTATTGATCACTTTCAATTATAGGATTTGCTTCGTTAACAAAATATATAGAGGTAGGATGGCAGCCCTGGGAACTAGCCTCTAGGGCAAATCCATAGCTAGGCAGGGGATAGATGGTACCATGGAAAAGCCAGTTGATTCATGTTGAGTCTCTTCAAAATCTAAACGTTTCTCTACAACCAAATCTGAGAAATATGATTCATACCCATTGGAAGATGCCAAAAGAATCTGCCATACTTTGGTCCACTCTCTGACTTTGGACACATCTGGCTGTCACAACTTTTTTTTCAAGTTATGGAAATTGAAAATCTCAACAGGCTTTTGTCCTGAGTGAAGGCATATATAATAGTATGAAAAACAATTTTTCTATGTTATGAGTCAATAAACTATGAACCTGAAAAGCCACTTTGATAGTCTTATTATTTATAATGGCATATTATAAATCATCACACTATTGTCAAGAAACATATTCACAATATGAAGCAGAATCCTACTGAAGCAATATTTTATTCAGGGTTTTATATTCTCTACCAATTTGATCTTGATTAAAATGTAAGAGAAAGGATTATCACACTTACTTAATCATATGTGGCACAGTAACTTTGGAATTCTCTTCAAACACTATAGTCATTAAACCATTACACCGTATATTGTCCACACACTGTGAAATTAAAAAATAGACAATTACAACCCACATGAAAACCTAGGCAGATCATATATTCCCAGGATTGTTTATAGCCACACAAACAATTTAGCTTCTTGTCTGTGCACGTGAGCAGTTACACACACACACACAGCAGTAGGTAAACATTACACATTAATGAACAGATCCAATATCCAGATACCAAACAGTGCACCTGGCAAATACCTGAGGATAGATATAAGGGCTATACTTTCCTGGAATGTGTCTCCCAAGAATTCTGACCACAGTGTCACATGGTCACAAATTCTCTGGCAGTGGCAGCACTATGAACTTGAGAGGTTTACACCTTCTTCTGGTGATGGCCTCTGCTACATTCATTCTCTGCCCTAGTGGGTGGTATGGGGCAGGCAGAGTAGAAATGGCGGCTTCCTTGGATGGAATCCATCTTCTGTCTCACTAGTAAGCTCTGTGCCTGCTTCTCAGGTGTTTTTTGCCAATAAATTCCCAAATTTTACTAGATTCTCTAGCAGTTTCTATTGGTACCATGTTGGTTTGGTGAGGATACATTGCATAATTTCCTCTGTTTATTGCACACATATAGCCCTGTTCATTTTTTCTCTTTTCTTTCTAAGAGGAAAACTCAGGAACTTTTGCTAATTTCCTTTGCCTTCTTTATTTATATCTATGTCTCATCAATTTAAAATTTCCCTTTGCAATTACTTTGGGTTAGAGAAGGATTTATTTTGAATTATACATATTACTTTTGAACAAAACAGAAAATGAGAAAAGATATAAACAATTTTTAAAATCAAAAATTACTTCTAGTTACTAGGATACCATGTAGTGCTTTATGACTGCAATTAAATGGTGTGAAGAAGCTGACTGCCAAGGGCCTCCACATAGGTCCTGAACTCAGGGTTCACCCTGAACCCCAATGTCTAACAAAGGCGTGAATACATGGATAAGAAACTGTGGATCACTGGTATCCCCTGACTACTCAGTCTACTTAGTATATCAGCCATTTTCATACTTGTTTTTCCTTAAAAATTTGTCTCCTCGTGTCTTATGCCATTATTTCAATGACCAGATCATCCCAACTTCTGGGAATAAAGTGGAAATTTTCAAGTTCCCCTTCAATTCATTTCTTAAACTACAGCATCTGGAAATAATCTGGAGTCATCTTTGTGCATGAATAATTATGGTTACCTATCTATCAATATGGTTATATGTGAATTTATACTCCATTTTATTCCTACAAGGTAGATTACAAAACACATATAATAAGACAAAAGTCAAGATAAGTGAGAAAATCAGAGAGGATTTGAGAAAGGGTGGAAAACAATAAGACAAAGCCTGAAATGAAGCCACCACGCATACTTTATGTTGAGAAGTCCCAAACACTTGCTATAGGTGGGCCTCAAAATTAGCTGGGCTATGGAGCAGCCAGCTCAAAAGGGGACACAAGATCAACTACAAAATTCACAGTTTAGTAGAAGCTCAATTAATCCTAGTCTGAGACCAGAGAACAATTATTTCATGGGTTCTCATAAAGAAAACATTGAATAATGAAGTAAACAATGTCCTTATCAACATCCTTAGAGTAATGACAAGTTTTACCAAATCATTTCTTATAAACTCCCTCAACATTGGTTAGAAAAGTATAATTCCAAAGAAACCATCTTGGGGGGTAGGCCCCAAAGAATGTGATTCAGAGGCCCATCCTGCCTCTGCTGGTCTGGTTCCAAGCACAGATTTCACACTCTTCGGGAAAGGGGATAGGTTGTTCTCTTGAGGCTAACTAAATGTTGCTTCTCTTCTCCTGGTTCGTGTAAGTTTCGAGCAGCAGGAAGCTGGACGTGCTATTCTCCCCAAATCCTAGGTGTCCAGTTATGGACAGTCAGGGTTCCGCCAGTGAGCCCAGCTACCAGTTCACAGGGTATCCTCTCCGGCCTGAAGAAAAGCCACACCACCTCTAAGGGACAGCTCTCAGTTAGGACCAGATGAAAACAGACACCAATGACCAATTGCTATGTGGCAACATACGTGGAAAAATGAAGAGATGGGGCTGGCTGGTGCATGAGTTTATCACGGAGAGGACAGTAAGAGAGAGGCCTGAAGAAGTCAGTTGGAGTCAGGCTGTGGGGGAGGGTCTTGAATTTGGATTGTATCTGGTAGGCAGTTGGGAAGCCACTGAATGTTTCTAAGTGGTCTATTTACGTTGAAAGATCTACAGCTGGCCTTATGGAGGTATTCACTGGAAGAGAGGAATGAATGGAGACCCAGAGATCATCAGAACGATATTGAGTCAATAAATGAAACGATTCATGCTGCCCTGAGGCAGACCAAGGGAATGAAGAGGAAGGGGTGGAGGTAAATATTTTGAAGAAAGAAATAATAGAAATTGATGTTCTTGAAAAAACCAAGAGAAAAAAAAGATAAAAGTAAAAGATGACCATTGTTATTAAGCAATTTAAATTTTTTCTGATGCAAATACATTTAAAAGTAATAAAGCATGGCCAAACGTCTTTTGAATGACACAGAGCTTAACCAAAACTGGTCTATCTTTTGAATTCTCAAGAGCACCAGGAAGGTGCACTACTTACACAGCATTAGGGATTTTACTAAATGAGTGTCTCACGTCTGCATTTATTAAGTACTTACTTTGTGACAGACACTGGGCTAAGTGCTGGGAGATGAGGGCGAGAAGCAGAGAAAGAATATATGAAAGACCTTCAAAGATGAATAAGGCAAACACTTCAACTTCACTTTCCTAATTCCAATGGAAAAATATGGGTTAACATTGTCCCTTTTTTATGAAACTATGAGTAGGGGGGTAGGGGAAAAAGAGTTGTATGGGGACAGAGATTGCACACAGGGAGAGGAGGAGAGGATACGTAATCCTCCCCCCAGGGACCTTTCTAGCTATTCCTCAGACTTTTCTTCACTCTCGATGTTTCTGAAGCACCATGAGGATGCCACCTGGGTAACCAATACCCAAGTGGTAGGGCAGAGACGGTGTTGGTGAGAATTGTGGAAAATGAACAATGTTCCTTCAATTTCCTTTAACATTCTAAGCAAATGGCATAGTTACACAGACAAGAGCCTTAGGATGACTTAGGACTAAGTTTCCATGTTTAGATTCTCTATTTGGTTCTTTGACAGATCAGCCTGATCCTTTTTACATGGCTATCTGTTCTTTTTGTTTTCTTCTCTCTCTCTGGCTCTCTTTATAGCTTTATTATTTTTTTAAACATTCTTATTTTACAGTCTTTTCCAAGTTGTCACTCTATTATCTGAGGTTCTAGCAGTGCTAATTATACTGTTCACTGTGTCTTCTGACTCATGATAGATAATTTACTCACAAGATTTACAATTTTTGATTTTGAGCACATTGTCATGAGCCCTGAAATGTAGAAGTGTTGCTAATGGAGTAACTTTGTGTTTGCTTCTACCAAGCATTCTTGGGACTTTTAACAGCCCAAAAATTGTTTTTACATTAATTCCTCAGTTTGGAATTTTCACGCCACGTGAACATTATAAATCTGAATGTCAAATCCATAGACCAGAAACACATTCATTTTTTTCAAAGGAGATTTTTGAAAATTCAGAACCCAAGATAAAGACAAACTACCTTATTTTTTTCTAGGGCTAAAGGGTAGGGTTTTTTGAGTTCTTATTTCACACAAGGGACAGCCTTCCAATGTACAGGCTTTAAACAGGGATCTCAATTTCTTTAAGGGACCCAAGGCTACCCCTCATTCTCTTTGTTAATACTCCTTGGGCTTGGGACCAATATCCAATCCAAAATCATTCCCAAGTCTCTATGTCTTCAGTTTACAAGCTTTCTGTTCTGACTTTGTGCCCTTATTATTTCTGGGAACTAGAGATTTCCGTTTATATCTGTAAATATCACCAATGTATTAAATTTTTTTATTATACTGATTCTATGTGTTAAACATCTGGTTTTGTAGCTAGCAGGGATCTAAATCAGCCCAGTCCTCCACACTGCCAGAATTGGAACCTGAGATAAATGTTTTAGATCCAAAGAGAAGATTTATGTGACCACTTTTGAACATCTCATTATCCAATGTCAGATCTCATTCGTAAATCTTTCTGATTCATTGTGTGAAGCATTAAAATAATTTTCAATAGGAAGAAAAAGAAATTTTCACTTACACTCCAATTTCAGGAGAACAAAACATACATGTAATCTGAACCATAGCTCAAAAGATCGTGTAATGAAAAGTCATATTTTAATTGTACAAAAGGGTCTTTGATAACTGACACACAATCTTTAATCTATCCATGGGATGGATGGAGAGAGATATATATATATACATACACACATATACATACATGTATACATAAAACATAGTATATTTATAATAGGGGAGTGGTTTTGAAATGGGCTCCTCATTTCTTAGAGGTTCCACAGACAGGCTTCAGTGACAACCTGGATGTGAACAAACAGAACTCCTGGGGTCTCTGGGTCCACCAACCTACTTCAACCAGAGTATTATGCTTTTACCTTACCTCCATTTGGGACTTTCAGTAATGCTGCATTGAAGAAAGAGTTCTTTTCCAAAAGATGTTAAACTACAATAGAATTTGTATATATGAATGTGTGTATGAATATATTTATATTGGAAGGCATGGTATATGTTCATGATCATATAAGCATATATCTTGGCTGTGTTGAAGAGAAGAAATTGAGCCCTGGGGAAATGAATACAGTTTACTCATTTAAGAAGAAATACAGGAAAATAACCAGAGTGTCACATATCTTTAAGGCCACATCGAATTTACATGAATTACAGTAAATCTTGAAATTAACAGGATAACCAAAGCAGATTCCTAGGCATGGATATTCTAGTTAGTTTGTGATGACTAAGACTAGGGTGGGGCCTGGGAATCTGTATGTTCACAAAAGCCCCAGGGTAACTTTGATGCAGCTGATCCTTGGACAAATGTTGAGAATGACTCCTCCAGCGGGGTATTTTGAGGGTCTTGTTTAAGGTAATATCTGTCCAGAGGTCAGGGGTCTACTGTGTCACCATATTTTTTTACCTTCTTAATACTTCTAAGTAGTGGAAAGAAAGGTTAGATTCAATTTTTCTCTTTTAATTCACCTTTTTATGTTAAAGTAGAAAATTCCCAGTTGATTCCAGAGAAGCTATTTTAAAGGAGAAAGCATGTCAGTGTGTTACACATTTGTCTATACAATGTCTATATTTTGACACATCTGCCCAAACCGAGAAGCTCAGAGGTGAATTTTAATTCTGCATTTTAGTTAATACCCATAATTATAGAAAAATCTGCTTAATACCCCATCATGTACGACAGTAAGACAAGCACAAATGAATGCACTATATTGAAATGAATAGTCAAATCTTCAGCCTCAAATTTTTCCCTATAAATAGATGAAAAAGGGAAGAATTATTGGTCAAGACCACTAGCCACTTGCACATTTTATTGGAGGCACCAACGGTTAATTATGGCCTTACTGGTGTAACTAAAAGCATAATTAATCATTCAAGCAATTGTTACTTCTGAAAATCACAGCTTCAGAGAGAGAGGCCTGGCAAAGCCAAAAGTCTTTATTTTTGTATAGAGTTCTTCACGTGAAACTGGGATTGTATCAATACTCAGGAGCCACTTTATTATCTCAAATAAGAGCCACATGTGATTAGTATAATAGTACAATAGCTTAGCAAGGTGGTGTCAAATTAAGCCACAAAAAATTAAGATTTTGCAAAATAAAGAGTGACAAATACAAAATAATGGAGAACATATGCATAACCTGAATTGAAAGAAAATGTTCATTTCCCTAGTCTGTAAGGATAGCTCCAATGAATAAATGTCCATCTGGTATAAACAGCCAAGAAATAGAAATAGCAAAAAATATTAATCTCATTGATAATTACAGAAATGTAAATTAAAACCACTAGAAAGTAACACCATTTTTCCATTAATTCCACTCAACATTGGCAGGACATGGAGGAAAGTTGCATAGATATCTTACAGATGATGTAGTGAAATGATAAGTTAAACATTTCTTGGAGCATTATTGCAGTCTGTCGAGTCACAAATCATGAAATCGTGAACATGGTCAGGTCAGGCCCTCTGTACCAGCCTTACCCACAGTGGGGAAGACATAGCAACGAAGGACTTTGAAAGGGGGGAACCTCCCTGCACAAAGATGCTTAGCACCACATCATACATTCAAGCTAACACTTGAAAATGGCCCATATGCCTAATGAGAAGACACCAACACCTGTTAGAAGACACCAACATGAAGAATTTGGAGTAGAGAATGATGTAAATGAGGTAAAAGGCAAAAAAAAGATGCATAAATACACTGAGAGCCAAACTGTAAAATTATTTCAGTATTTTACAGGACTTTTCAGTATTTTACAGTATTTTGCAGGATTGTGGGGGTTTTAGAGATAGAAACAGTTGACTTTCAGGACAGAGTTTCTTTAACTTAATTGTTCAAAAGTCAACTGTGGAGCTTGTTACACCTGGGGGGTGTCTGGAATGTGGGTTCAGGAATTTGCATTTAAAAAAACCCTCAGGTAATTCTAATATAGGTATCTGTGGAAAATACTTTGATAAACATTTATTTAGTGTGGTGGGTATTGGGAGTATTTGTAGTTCCTTTTTGTGTCCATATTTTTACATATATTGTATATAATAAAATATTAAAAAGTACATTTTCAAGCATTTGGTAGGCTCATCTTATCCGTAATGAACATATCCAGAGACATACTTGGGAGACTGATGAATTCCATCAATGTATGTACATAATTTCCCCCATAAAATGAAAACGCTTTAAGCAGAGAACAAAACCCAGCTGAGATGGAGGCTGCTGGGCAGCAGGCTGGGCTCAACCAATAGTGGAGCGCTCTGTGCCCACCACCCACCATTCAAACCCTGCACCAGGAAATGCACGAAGTATCTCAGAACACCCACTACCATACTCAGTCTTTAGTAGCATTGACACGTGACCACTCCCTCTTCCTTGATATATTTTCTTCACTTGACTTCCAGGACACCATGCCCTCTTGGCTGTCCTATGGCATTGGTGGTTCCTTCTCAGTCCTCTTTGCTGTTTCCCCCTGACCCCTCACTCAGTCCATGGCCCTTTTCTCATTTCTATCTACACTTACTCCCTGGGTGATCTCAACAGTCTCACAGCCTTAAAGACCACCTAAATGGCAGAGAGTCTCCCACTTGGACCTCTCCCCTAAACATTGAACTTCACATCCCATTGCTTACTTAACAATTCCACTCAAATGACCTCCTCTTTTTCTATTTTCCCCCTCACACATTCCACTTCGGCCACACTGGCCTTCATGCTATTACTCAACATATGCAGTGTATCTTGCTCTAGAGTCTTTGCAATGGCTGTTCCCTCTATTTGGAATGACCTTCCCTTCATCACATATCTAGATAGTATTTCCATCACCTGCTACAGTCTTTGTTTAGATATCTTCTTCAGAATGAGCTGACCAACTTTTTAAAACTGTACCAACTCACACCTACCTCCTGTAGCCCAATCCTTCGTACCCTGCCCTATCACTTTCTAACATAAAATAGTATGTACTTATTTATGATGTTTACTGCTTATTTTCAGTCCTCCCCACACTAGGATGTAAGCTACATGAGGTTAGAGAATGTTTTGTTGCCATTGCCTCTTTTGTTCATGATATATCACAAGTGCCTAAACAGTACCTGGCATACAGTGTCACTGCAGGAATATATTTGTTGAATGAATGAAACCAGAAGTGTTAAAGCCACACAATATCAAGGCTCTACTGAAAATAGTAATTTCATGTCATGATATCACCGTCACTCAAAAAGATACAACTTTCTGTTAGCTTCCTTCTCCGATTCAACTATACATATAATCTAGTACAATCTAACATATGAGCCATAGCAACTTGGAGAAATAGGAGGAAGTTGTACACTTCTACCTCAAGATGTAGTCTAAGTAGAGAGACTCACTTGGATGCTTGTGGCAAGCCAAGTGTTGCATCCTTTCCTTAAAGGACCAGGCATAGAATTATTCACGCACCCCAAGGGTCTTTCTCTCTTAGCAACACCTCACCAGGCACCCAAGGAAGGTCACTTAAGGCTTTTCTCAACTCTGTATCTTAGGAGCCCCAGTTACATGATAAGGTAGAAGCTAGAAGCAGTTGGAAAAACATCTTGGTCCACGCTCCCATTCTCCCCATTCTTCTTAAGTATCTTGGCTTCACAACACCTACAAAACTGTGTTGCATTAAGCTCTCTACTTCCCTTTCTTCCCTATTAGCCTGCCTGTCTCCTTGAGAGCAGGGACCATCCCATATCCCTGGAACCTACATGATACCTGGCAGCCCCTTGTGATTGCTCAATAAACATTCGTACAATCAATGAATGATTCAGTTTCATAAGGTAAGAGATGCATTATAAACCGAGACTTAATTAAAGTATTAATAGCATACAGTATAGAGCTAATGAAAGTATTAATAAACTACCACAAGGATGTAATTATGCAAATACACAAGATCCCATATTTTCATTCCTTTGTTAGCCAGCAGAGAAATTCCTTCACTTCTAGCTATTTATTCCAAGCAGTCCTGGGGGTATACAAGTAAAACTCCAGTGTTGCTGTAGAGGACGTTTAGAGTGCTAATAAAAGACCTGGATTAGGTTTGAGTCCTAACTCAGTTGTGTAACTTCGGACAAATGTTTAGACTTCCAAACCTTAGGTTTCTCACCCATGAAATGGGACTAATATTTCTGTTTACCGTCAGAATACTATTGGAAAGGTCAAATGAGATTAAGTCTGTAAAATTTCTTTTAACATATAAAAATAATTATTTTTGCCATTCATTCTCTATTTCCCCTCAGTTTTTAGTCACTCAGGAAAAAAAATGAAGTATCTGAAGAACTATGATATGGTTCATATTTTTACCTAAGTGTTATATATAAATTACTATGAGCTCTTCAGAAAAACAAGGCAATGGAATCTACAGTATACGCCTTTCTTGTTTGCCCTAATCTTTCTTGAGTTAACAATTTTGAAGATAATCATTTAATACTTTCCTTACACAACTTCACTTTTCTCCTATATTGGTTAATGGAGCCAAACATAACGTGGAGCTTGGATTTAGGAATGCCCAACTCCGATCATGACTGGTTTTGATATTTTTCCAAATCCTGAGTAAATGCAGCAATTCCCTGACCGGGCATTGCTGATCAAGGAAAAGTAAGCAAATCTGTTTCCTATTTTTTTCTACATAAAATACAAGAGCTCATTTTCAGATTTCATACCACAGTCAGTGTCTCTTCTTTGGTGTGATTCCTTCATTTGTGAGTTCTCGCCATAGCCCTTGTTAGCTGTTTTTGTATCTCCCACCACTTTCCTACTTTAGAAACAAATAAACAAAAAAAGTCTAGTGGGGTCATTGGAGAATTTATTACTAACAGGGCAATTTTAACACTGTTCAACACAAGGGACATTTACAGCTTATACAAAAACGCCCAGGAACTAAAATGCAAGTACTACATTGCAGGTAAATTTTAACCTTAAAAAGAAAAACAACAACAACACATGATCCCAGCATATCAAGATCCACAGTATGATGGTAGTGACCACAGCAACCAGATGTAATTTTTTAATAAAAAAAAAATAACTTGAAAAATCTTCCCCAAAAATTTATGTTGTGAAATTTAAAAAAACAAAAAAACAACTTATGGCAAAAGTCAGTTGCTTACCTGACTTATGTCGCTTGTCCAGGCAGCTTTCTCCTGGCGTGAAGGTGCTAACAAGACAACAGTGAAGGGGGCAGCATCAGGAGGCTCCACCACTATTTTAAAATCCAGGTGTCCAAACATTTGCCCAGAACCTTTGGCTTCAACAGACATAAAACAAACAATTAAATGTGCCTACAAAAATATGAGCGATAGCTGCTTTCACGGAGTTCTAGTAATGCGATCGATGTGCATTCAAGTCCAGAATCTCGTTCCAGCAATATGGGACTTCTTGGGCACGGGGAGCACTTTTTTAAGCTCAGAAGCAGATGAAGAAGCTGAGGTCAGTAATTTCAGGACTGGGATGTTGATGTCTTATTTCATGTCTTTGTTTTTTAATTTCCACAATCTACAGAATTCCAACACTCTAATTTAATTCCTTTCTTCTCTGCCTACTACTGAAAAGTCACTATCATGAGACAAATTCAGTATATGTGAATTCTCAAAGACGGTTTAACAAGGCTCACAGGTTAAATGGTTCAACAGAATTCTTCATATATAATTGACTTCAGGGAGTTTATCCTCAGCATCTCTCCTGCTTCCTTAAGAAGCTCTTCTTAGGTATAAACGAACAAAAACCATGGGGCTTTTTGTATTCTAATATAATTCTAAGTGACAGAATGTGACTTACAGTCATCGTCGCTGGCATCGGGCTCCTCAATCAACGTACATTCTATTAGAGAGAGGACCCCACCTGTCTGGAAACAAACCAATTTTTCATTAAGAGGCTGAGAGCCTTGCATAGCTCGGGAAGCTCTGATTTGTAAACCTTATATTCAAGTTGCCATAGAAGAAATCATAGCAATTCTGCATCATATATAATTTTTCATAGATTCCAAAATTAAACTTGGACATGTAAAAGTAATCGAACTCATTGAACGTCATGATTCTTCTCCCCCAACCCACTCTCATTCCCAGTGTTTATAAAATTTAGCAAGCCAGTGTCTGGGAGACTAAATGGCCTTTGAGAGTGAATGCAGCTCAGCAAAGGGCCGGACTCACCAACCAGGAAGTGGTTTAAGCAGTAGAAAGCCATTGTCATGATGTTGAATAATATTTTTAGGCACTAATACACAAGGTATAGATAGACAAACTTTTTCTGTAAAGGGCCAGATGCAAATCTTTTAGGCTTTGCAAGACATACGATCTCTATCGCAACTACTCAAATCTTTTTTAAAAAGCATGAAAGCAGCCACAAACAATATGTAAACAAATGAGCGTGGCTGCATTCCAATAAAACTTTATTCACACACGCAGGCAGCACGCTCTGGGCCATGGTTTGCTGACTCTTGGTATAGACAAGATAAAATAGCCTTTAGCAAATATTACCTCAGTACAATGTAGTGATTTGACAGGATTTTTGTAGCTCAGTAGTCATCAATTAGTAATAATTTTGCCCAGGTTATGATTTTAATTTCACTTCTTGATAGTAATGCCCACTTAAATTTCTATTACTTTGGATCCAATTGACAACAAAGTAAATGTCAAGGTTGATAACTGTACCTTACCTCACTATGCAATTGTGACAATGTGTTTTATGATACCAGGCCTAGCAAAGTCAGAATTAAATTAAACTCAATGCCTCTGAAGTGTATGGAACATAAATGGAATAGTCATGTAAAACCAATACCTTGAGCAGATGCAGCTTTCCTCCTGAACTTCTCGTACAAATTAAAAAGTGTTTTGTAAATAAGAAGCATTGTCTTTCTCCTTCCTTTTTCAAAGACAATGAACCCAGGCGAACTTTACTAAGTTTCCCCCTCTCAACGGAAGGTACTTGAATAAGAGAACCTGGTGATCACAAAAGTGAAGAACACACAGCAATTAAAATGTTGTCAAGTGAGAGACGTTCCCAATGCAATAAACAGTAGGGTCTGTTTCCCAAGATACCAAGGATTTATTGGATGCAACACTGGAACAAATAAATCCCCTACACTCTGAGAAGTGCACTGTGTTTTAAGGGTAGTACTAATTCCTATTATTTTTTAAAACATTTTAGAATTGATAATTCATCGATAAGCTGGAAAATAAGTTTCAAAGAAAGCCAATATGAATTCCAAGAACAAGGCACTTCTGCCATCTGTCCTTGGTGATCTGATCTCAATCAACTTATGTCTTTAAGAATAAGGTACATATTGTACAATTACATATAGTACTAAAACAACATAATAAAAAGCATATAGAATTTATTCTTCCTGAAGCACTTAAGGTAGATAGATAGTATATTAATATAGTTTACTTTGTATTGAAAAAATAGAATGTACAATACATGTATATTATAAAAATACAAAAATTATACAATTCAATGCAATTTAGTTAAGGACTATTTTTAAAGGGCAGCTAGTTCAGGTTATATTTAAATTATGTGTGATAAAAATTCTTTGTGAATCTAAATGGAAAAGAAACCACATAAAGTCTATACCCAGAACAATCTTGTCAGCAAAGCTGTCTTCCATTCAATGTGAGAAGCTCTACATAGAGTTGATATAATTTCACCCTAATAATGACCTCCCTCTCCCCCAAAATAAAATTCCAGTCTAAGTTAAATATCAAACCAAAAAGTACTAAAAGATTCTTGAAAATACCTTTGACTCTGACCTCTGAAATGCCTGAGACAGTAATATTTCTACTCTTTGTTTAATCCACCACCCACTCCAAATGCAGCCTTACAAAAACTCGTTGTATCAGCCTCATAAGAACCATTAAATGCATATTCAACCCTTAAATATTAATAGCGGTCATCACTAAGAGATGAGATTGCAGGCAATCTTGTTTTCCTCTTCATAACATTTTCTGAGTGTCCTGATTTTTTTTTTTTTTAAATGAGCACAGACTATTTCTATAAGTGGGAAAAAAAAACACTAAAGTTCTTCACATACATAAAATAGTAAAACTATGATTGTGGGTGGTAAAACGTTCACATTAACATATGAATGTTCCAAACAGCATCTACTTTTTAACAGAGACCTAAAGATGTGCAGGGGGTAAAGGACCCCCGCCTCCATGCCCTGACTCCATCGATTTAGGTGACTGTTCAGGTGGGGCTGCCTGATAGGCAGAGCAGGCAGCTATTCGGGCCTAAAGAAGAGCAGAGAAGAAATTCCACGGGAGAGCGAGGGACCATGGAACAAAGGCTTGATTCCACTGAAGGGAACGGGCAAGAGGAGAGTGAATGAAGGAGGCGAGGTAGGTGGGAGCAAACTGGCCCAGAGCACAGGCAGCAAGAAATTCAATCTGAAGAGTAAAGGAGAGAGGGGAAACAGAAGGCAGAATGCTGAGAGAAGCGGATGAGCAAGTAACAGCAGGAGGACTGTCCTCATGGGACTCATGGGGTGGAATCAAAGGGGGAGGAGATCCTTCATTGCACCTAGTTCACCTCCTCACTTCACAGAAGGGGAAACTGAGGCCTGAGAGACTAAGCAGCTCTCCCAAGGTCACACCTAATTGAGCGGCACATCCAGGAGACGGCAGTGGATTCAGCAACATTAAAACTGGCACTTGGAAACGGAAGGGATGGGAAAAGACAGTGAGTTGCCGCTTTGCCATGGGTGGTCGTGAGTCATCCAGACAGACTGCTTAGGGCGGAGCAAAAGACTGAGGCTTAGGACAAATATCCTGGGGCACAAAGGGGTTTGGGAGTCATTTTCAGAAAGGCTATAACCAAGGGTACGAAAACTTGATATAATGTGTTCATTGGTAAGTGCTTCTAGCATTTAATGATCTTGTATACCGGAAACTACAGAAACCATTAGCTCATATATTAGTAATTACTGTGAATTTCACCTTTAAGGTAAAAAAATAAATGTTTCCTTGGCAACTATGCACTAATATGCTTAATCTATAACTGTTCATCTCATATCCAACTGGGAGACTATGTGCATTAGGTACGTACAGAAATCCATACATCTGAAGTAAAAGTGAGCAATTTCAACACTACTGTTTGGTTTACAAACTACTGATAATGGGAAAAACATGTTAAGTAGATTTTTTTCACATTTCATCTTATGTTTGAGATGATGTTTCAACACAGCCATGAGACTTGAAGATCCCTCTCTAGTTAATACAAATTAGAAAAACAATTAGTATTAAATTAGCAATTCCTCAGTATCAGACCATTGCTATGATACAGTCACTTGCATCTCTATCAGCAGCCTATCTAATAATTGGGGTCAGCTTACAACAAAACTTCTGTTATTTCAATCACTAAATTCCCATAGAGTGGCATTCAAGACTGGTTAATAGGGGCCGACCCCGAGTTTGGCGTGCTCCACTTTGGCAGCCTGGGTTCGCGGGTTCAGATCCCAGGTGCAGACCTACGCTACTTGTCAAACATGCTGAGGTGGCGACCCACATACAAAAAAATAGAGGAAGACTGGCACAGATGTTAGCTCAGAGGTAATCTTCCTCAAGCCAAAAAAAAGGAGGAAGACTGGCAACAGATGTTAGCTCAGAGCGAATCTTCCCCACCAAAAAAAAAAAAAAAAAAAAAAGACTAGCTAATGCCCTTATCCTGAATTCCACTCAGTAGTAAAAAAGAACGAAGAGCAATTTCGTTGATCTCGGGTTATTGGGTTAGGCATTTGGGAAGGTATAACTATCGTAACCCCATGTTACAATTTCAAAGAACACTGGTACATTGAAAGTACATGATTTTGACTCTGGGAATGATTAAGGTACCAGAGAGGTCCATGTCTCAATCTCAATGCATTTTGCTCTGAATTGGGACACCTTTATTTATTTTTCCTAATTCACATTTCCACAAGACAGCGTTGACTCTGCGTAATGGGTTTGTGCAAAATGTCAAGTTACAGTGCCTTTACCTTCTACTAAATAGTCATATATATTTCATGTTATTGAAAATAAAAACTCATTCCAAAATTTGGATCTTGGTTTTTAAAGTTTATGTCATAATCTCATAGGCACTAGTCTAGATGCTTTTGTGAGCATTAGCTCATTTAATCTTCACAACAATCCTAAAAGATAGCTACTACTATTAACCCTAACTTCAGGAGAGGAAACTGAGGCAAAGAGCGGTTAAGTAAATTGCACAATATCACACAGCAAGGAAGTGGGAGAGACAGGATTTGAACTCCAGTGACATGGCTATACTGTCTTCCTATTATTGCCTCAGACACTTTAAACATTTGTTCAATAAACTTTGAATAGATTTTGGAAAATAAACAATAGCAGACCACCGCCATGATACATTCTTTTGCGTCCTTCTCATCAACTGTCTGATAATTGGAATCCATTTGCAATAAAACATCTGTTATTTCAATCACTAAATTCCCATGGATTGACATTCAAGATTGGCTGATGCCCCTTTCTGAGGAGCCTTTCAGATGACCTGGATGACTTATTTTTTCTAGTTCTCAGAATAAAAATTCACTTAAGATTGAAACCACGCACGTATCTGTGGATATGCATGCATGCACACACATACTGAAACAGACCTCATATCGTCCCTAAAAGTAAACAACACATATACTAGCGCACAATTAGAGACAAACTGTAGTCCATTTCATAGGAGATAGAATCCCCAAAAGTTTAAAAGAATTAAAAAGGAAAAAACACCTCCATGGGTGTTAAAGCCCATTAGGAGTATTTAGTCAAAGTGATAACAGGAGTAACTCGAGCAAAAAAGGCCAACTTTCCAAATTGTCTGTAATTGGATTCCTCTCTACTTTCAGATTAAGGCCTGATTTTTTAAAACCACCTTTATTGAATAATTCCTAAACAGACTAACCAAACCAAACAATACAGACAAATATTGCTGAAAGGCAAATCACATCAACATCAATACCGTAACAACATCAGATATATTAATAGCTCACAGAAGCTCCTTAAAAAATGGTACAGAACAAGCAATAAAGAACATCTGGACATGAATCAAAGCAAGAGGGGGTTCATGATTGTTCTCCTCCAGGTGCAATGAAAACAATATGACTTATTCAATAAATTCGACCTTCTAGCATTTTTCATTATAGATGTTTTTCCAAACTTAGATCAAAACAGTCTACGTTTGTAGAAATATATTAAATGCCTATGCGTAATAATACTTCTTAATCAAAAGTCCTTCCAGAAATTGAATACTAGTTATAGAAACTTTTGTTTCCATTCTTACACATTATAAAGCTCAAGACAATTAGTAAGTATTCTTCAGTGAACTCCAAATACAAGAGAAATACTAAATAAGACACCTTACAATCAAAACTGCAATTCGACAAGCAATTCAATTTAACCCAATGCCCAGTTTCCAGGTATCTATCATGGAAAGCAGTGTGTTAGACAGGGGAGAATTCATAAACACCACTCTTCAGAGCTACAATTACTGGGTGAGACAGGCATGCAAGCATGTGCCCATAACACATAAGAGGCTGAGATACATGCACCAGGAGCAAAGGGCCTTGGAAACGAGGAGGAAGGTAAATTCATTCTAACTGGAGGGTGGGGGAGGGGAAGATGAGGAGGAGATTTTAAAAGGCTCTTTAGAGGTGTCTGACCTGAGCCTGGTAGGACAAGCAGACCTTCGACAGGCACGGAAGAGGTGGATAAGGGCATTCCTGGCCCCCAGGCTGAGGACAGCACACAAAAAGGCACAGAGGCAGGCAAGTGCTGGGAAGGCAGGAAGCCAATATGGGGACACAGTGTGCGCAGAGGAATAGAGGGACAATTGGGAAGACCTGACGTTGTCAGCATTATATTCCCCTATTATTTAAAGAAAAATTAGTATCGAAAGCCAAAAAGGAGAAAAGTTATCATTTCCTAAAATATTCTTCCAAACTTGAACATATGCGTGACTTCTCTCCTTGTAAATAAATAATGGAAAATAGAACAGCATGTGTTAAATTTTTTAAGTATTCTGTGCAAAAATTAATGTGCACAAAAAAAATAATGTCTGTTTGATGAGGTAAAAAATATTTTAAGCAGCACATTTTGGTGGGCAACGGAAATGCAAATATCTTCAAAGGATATTGGCACATTATAAACAGAAACTACATTAAAGGTTAATCCTAGTTCCAAATTTATGTGCCACTCCTTACCAAGTTCAAAATTATAAATGTGTGCAATATGTTGTCTCACATCAAGTCCATGGGGCCTGCTCCCCTCCCTCAGAACACTCAAGCACTTAAAAAGAGCTTGGGATGTGGTTTACTTCGTGAGCTTTGGGATGAGAGCCACAGAGGACTCTGCACTGTTAGGCTGTTGCTTCTCCACAGATTCTGGCACAAATATCTTCAACTCATCAAAAGCTTAATTTACTGGGTGATGCCCCCAAAGCACACTCCACAAACAAGATACCATCACCATCACCAAAGCGTGGCAGGGGGCGACTGTGAAACATTTCATCTGGCAACTAGAGTTACCAGTTGAATCAAATCATATCATGTGGGGCCGATCCAGAAGCACTGATGAAAAATGGGAACAAAAGACAGCTGTTTTCACTTCGGACATTGTCCCCACTGCTATGTGAAAGGGCTTTGAGCAATGCAAGTTTCTCTTGGGCCTTTGCCTGGATGTCGTCACCACCTGGCACTGCCACTCCAATCGGCCAGACCGCTCTGTCCTCCTTGGAGCTGTAGAGAACGTCCGGTCCACTGAGGAGGAGAGTCCAGTCAGAATGTAACTTACTGTCCCATTCGTGCTTTACTATTATTGTGTTGCTGTTTTTCATGGCCCCTGAAAAGAAACAGCACAAAGGTGGGCCTCAAACACAGCCTCGGACAAGGCCATGGGGATTTCCTGCATGAACAGCGTCAATCACACAGCTAAATCAAGCCTGCTCCAAAACGCTTTCCTGGATCTGCCAGTGATAATGCGACAGTCGCAGAGATCACTTAGATGGTGGGTCTGTTGACAAGGACTTACCTTGGCGGATGAAAGTTTGGCTGGTGTCCAGCAAAATATCACAGCCCTCGACGATCATTCTTTCTATGGCAAGGTTCTTCCTTATGTTTTCAGTGTCGCTCACTTCATCGTGCATTACTCTGTCAGACACAACACAGACAGGATCACAGGAAGAGTATTTTCTGTTGCCCTAGCAGGTAAGCAAAGAAGAGCTCCATCTGGGAAGCTTGGTTTTGAACTTATATCATTTAACTGGCGCTGTGAGGGAAGCTGACTGGACCTCCAGGCTTCAACGAGTCATGAGCCAAGCAAGGCCAATGCTCCTCACGATTCCAAACGGTAAGTGGGTCAGTGACCAATGAGTATCCTGGGAATGCTGCTTGTAAGTGCAAGAGGACAGCAACATATTATTTTGTAAACAGCTTCCTTCATAGAAGCTAAGATGTCATTTCCTAGTGGTGGAGTAAATGAAAGACCTTTACCCATTTACCCCCATATAAGCTACAGAAACACAGATGTAAAGAAGCGTCGGAGACACTGAGAAGTCACTGACACATCCAAAATATACAATCTCTAGCCTCTTGCCAAATATGAATACAAAAATGCAACTAACAATTGTTTTTCTATTATGCTGAAAGAAATGTGAACATTTTCAAAGTTAAACCAAAATACACCTAATCTCAACTACATAAATTCACATGCTATAAAAACATTTTTGAGCCAGCCCTGATGGCCTATTGGTTCAAGTTCGGCACACTCTGCTTCAGCAGCCTGGGTTCGGTTCCCAGGCATGGAACCACACCACTCGTCTCCCACTAGCCATGCTGTGGCGGTGGCTCACATAGAAGAACTAGAAGCAGCTACAACTAGAATATACAACTATGTACTGGGGCTTTCGGGGGGAAAAAAAAAATTCTCAAAGACATATTTTTTTCTTGATTAAAATTAGTGTGCATGCTGATTCAGTACCATCTCAAGAACTAGCTCTTAACATTCAGGTGAACTGGAGAAGCTGGGTTGTGTCTTGCTTCTTGTTCCCTGGACATATATATTAGGTTTCCACAGAGACTAATCTGCTGCTTTCCCATATTAAGCCTTTATTATCAATTCCCCCACATACCTGGACAGTTCTTCTAATTTTGATTTAGCAAACTCCAGACTTTTCCTCTCCACATGCTCGTGGGGTGTATGAGCGAGGAGTTCATGAAGTGTGATGATATACCTGGGGATCTGAATGCAAACAGAGGCCAGCATGAGCAAGCGGTCAGGATGAGTAACGGAGACCTTCTCTCCAATGCCATCATCACTTCCAGAAGCTCATCTCTACTCTTACAGTTTTGATTGTTTTACAAATATTTTTTTAAAAAATATATTTAAAATAAACTACATTTCAAATTTCACACGTCACACAAACTTCACCAAGAACACATGAAAAGAATAATAAAGTATTATGTTACAAAGAAACAATTGTTTCTTTAGATTTTTTACTATAATCGTATATTTCTTAACCATAATTTTTGAAAATTGGTTCACAGGGAAACAGATACAGCTATCATTAAATCACTTGAGTCTGTTAGATATATTTGCCTGTTTACAAAATTTTTTAGAAATTGACAGTTCTACTGCTGCAATGTTCTCTTTAGGAATTAAAACTCGGGAGAAGATACATTCGCCCATTACATTCTTTTGATTCTGCTTTACTTAACTCATCCTTCTAGTGGTAAAAAGTATTGTTTAATTAGATTATTTACTTATACTTTTCTTTATGAATAGACAGACTGTCTGAATTCTGTCAAAGGCAGAAACTTCACCAACACTATGACGGTTTTAATAGACCACAGTAGAGATTTAACTCAAGTTATAGTGATTCAACAAATTTATTTTTTACTGGCTTATAAACTAAAATTTTTTAGAAAGCAGGAGCAGTGGGTTTAATTTTAACAATAACACGTGTGAACAACAGCTACCGTAACACTGCCCGCGATGGGTCAGATCGGAGCTCGAGGTTTGTACATGCACTAAATCCTCCAGCAACATAAGAATTATTTTCCCATTTTACAGACAAGGAAATAAAGCGTGAAGAGGTTTGGTAACTTCCCCAAGAAAGTTGGGGAAGTTGGGGAAGCCCCAAGGGGGCTTCATAGTAAATGGCAGAGCCAGCCATGAGCCCTGCTCTGACCAGTGCACTAGCCCAGTGGGTCTCTTCTGCAAGGACTGGGGTCCACTCAGCACCTGAAAGGACCTCTGAGACCAGAGAGGTCCAGGGCCCTGTGTAGCTCCTTCCATTCTGTCCTGAGGTGTTGGCAGCTCTATCCTTGGATCTGCTTTTGCTCTCGTGCAGGTGGTGGCCTTCATTGGGTTATTTACTAATATTTACTGAGTGCCCACATTTATGCATAGGTACAGAGGGCAGTGCCCTCAGCACAGACATCAATCTGCAGCTCACACTCTGGGATCATGTCCAAGGGAACGTCATCAAGCCAAGGTTTCAGAAGTGCAGACAGACTCCTTAGTTACAGGAGAGTGGGGGCCGGGAGACTGCTCCCTCTGAAGCACAAGTGGAGGAGGCTTTCTGCCTCTCCACCCCACAAACTTCTCACTAAAACAGCCTGTAGGGCTGTTCCACTTGCTGAAGCCTCCTGGGATAAGTACACTTTCAAATATTCCTTTTGCACAATGCCATGATCCATAATAGTTTGCCTCTAAGTTAGTAGTTCTATAAGACAATCAAGGCGATTGACAGCAAATGTACTCAATTTTTCATAACAAAGAGGGCAGGAGTGGGAGAGCCTGGCTATGGATAATGCACTGAAAACCCACAAAACTAAGTTTAGTCAATAGCTTCATGATCCTCCCCCATTAACGAAATCTATTTTAGAGAGCTCCTGGGCTAAGATTCAAGTGGATGGATTCAAAATTCAGTAACTGGCCCTTTCCACTTTCTTGTGGAGGAACAAACAAGACTGAAACTGCCAAAAAGCAGGCAAAGGACGTTCTGCAGAGAAGTGGACGGCTCTCCAAAGAGCTCATCTGTATATTTAAGAGCTGACTATAAATCTGTTCCCCAAAAAAACAAGAATCATAGTAAGTACTGTCTAGATGAATCATAATCCTGCTTTCAATTATGGAGCAATACTTGTCACTTTATAGTCACTAATTAGCTTGCTCTCCAAATAGAGTAAATAGGTGGCTAAGGCAGCAAATGGCTACTTTCTAGAGGACATCTAACAGCACTGTTCTTGCAGGAGCAGATTTTATGATTGGCTTACCTATGGGCTTATGAGCAGCTGAAGCCAATTTAAACAATACCAGCCAAGCCATTGTCTTTGCTAAATAAAAAGTATGTTAATGACTATATTATTTTCCATAACAAATTTCTTGGCAACACTTGGACTTACTTGTCTGATAGTTCAACTGAGGATAAATATACTGCATCATTCAAAGTCTACAATCCTTCATGTTTCCACAGGTCAACATGGTTCATTAAGAGCAGCAATTGACTTACTCGACAAAGGGCCCAGAAAGAGGTAGAATGTAACACTTTTCTCTTCTACTCGTACACAGGCTAAAAGTTGTCAATCACCTCTCCTCCTTCCTCTGCCCCCCACCAACCTCTGCCCCCATATCTTGGCTCAAGAAAAAGTCTGGGCAGAGGCCCCTCGGCAGTATGAACTAGGGCCACCTCTTCCATTGTTGCCCTACAGCAAAAAAGTGTGGTGCCCCAGCCTCATCCTGAGGTGTCCAGCCTACACCAGAACAAGGTAGAAGTGCAGGAGTACCACTGCTGATACAATGTATGCAGAGGGAAGTAGATACAGCTGGACCATGTGAGGGAGCAAACGCCTTCAGGACAATTTCATCTCATTGGTGAAAGGACCAAAAGAGAACAGGAAGGATATAATGAATCTAGTAAGAAAAAAACCTTCAAGCTTCTCAAAAGGGTGGTTTCCCCCTAAGTGTTCCATATGGTCACTCCTAGGGAGAGGGCAGAAGGGACAGACACCAACGGAACAAGACAGAGGGGAGACATCAAGGAGAATGTGGCCCTTGGGCAGCAAACTTAGATGATTTTCCCTCTTGGTCTGTTCAAAATCGTTATGGGAAAGCAAAGAAAGAAAGCGCCATTCAGCACTCTTTCAATTTGCACATTTCTTGCAAATGGACCAATTGTAGCTAAATTGTTTATGTTTGAGGCTCTTCCCAGAGCAATGGCTCTCACAAGCTGAGGCCTTTGGTTACCCTGGTCTGGAAGAAGCCAGAGAATCTCAACATCTGACCCTTCAGCTAAATTCTAGGGTTTGGGGCCACCACAGTCTTAGGGGTGGAGGGGGTGGTCTTAGACTAACACCAGGCTCTTTGCACCACCATATAGTTAACCACCCCAACTTTCAGAACCAGTCCAGTCCCCTTGGGATCACAGAGAGCTAGAGCTCTGGGGGATAACTAGAGCTTAGATGCCTCAATTTCGAGAGTAAGAAACAGAGATTTAGACTGGTTCAGTTATTTTCCCCAATGCTACGACTGAGGGGTGAGCAAGACATCCAGGTCTCCTAAAGAGTCCAAGTCCAATGGTCCTTTTCTGACATTATGGAAATTCCTGGGGGTTAACCAAAATGCTGTCATTGTTATTGGGCTTAAACTCAGGGGAAGGAGGGGGTTGGAGGGAGAGTACCTCAGCATTTCAGAAATCCAAAGGCCTTTCCAAGGCCCTACATTCTACTGTGTTTGGACACCTCAACTAAAGGGCCAGTGTGTTCTGCCATTTTAAAACATTGAGAGAATCACACCAAGGGGAGTTAAATAGGCATTAAAAAGACATTAATGGGCTGTCAGAAAGGGAGCAAGGTACCTCTCTGAATGCTCCATGTGGCTTTCACAATTCTATTTTAGAGTATTTACCTGAGTTGGGGTTGCTAAACAGACACAATTTAGGGTATTTAATCATAACCTAGAGGTAACTGCCAAAGATTCAAATTTGTTTCACTGTAAACTAAAAAATTACAATTTTGTATACAGTTAAAAACAAAGCAAAAATTTTTTTTTTGCTTTGAAGTTTTTCTTGTGAAATATCTCCTCAGAGAGGCAAAGAGTTCAAACAATTTAGTTTCAAGAAATAAACACAGTAACATTATAAAGTTTCACTATACTTAAGTTGTTTCAAATCATCCTTTTGGTTTTTAAAAATCTTACTCAACTTCTATGGTGACTCCCATGATTTCAAGCAGGATTGACAAACTTTTTAAGACAAACAGTTACAAACCACAGCAACATTTCTCTCCCAGGCTAGAAAATGATCAGCCAGGGTCAGAGATGCCTGTTCAGGGGACCAAACTGTCCGCAGAAACCCTAACACACATGACTAGGAGAATCGGTTTCCCACATGACAATTTGGAGGTCTGGCCGAAAGCTCCATAAATTCCACAACAAGAACTTCAATGCCTTGCCAAAAGAACAGAATCAACACTTTTCAAAAGAACAGGAAACTCAATTCATATTTTGGCCTCTGTAGTTCTCACTCAAGAGCTCTTAACGGTAAGGCCCCAGATACCGAAAGAACCCAAGGGGTGGTGAACACGATGCAGTCTACATAGAAGTCAAAATATGATGATGTACACCTGAAACTTATATAATGTTATAAACTAATGTTACTTCCATAGAAAATAAATAAATAAAAATTTTAAAAAGTTATTCTGTTACAGCATTTTGTTGTAATCAGATTGCTTCATTTCTGTGAATTAAAGAATTTGTTCACTACAGGGGCTGACTTAATACACTCTGTAAATGCCCAGGTATAGAAGATGTTTATAAGAATGCTAGCTATATTTGTGAATCAGTAGAGTATTATTTCATTAAAGATATGTTCACCACTTTGTGGTGCATGGAATGCACTCTGTATGTCACACGTATAGAATGTGTTTCTACGGTGATAGAATTTTGATGCATCTGTGCAGCATGATGTTAGTAAGGATGTGTTCATCACGTGTGCTCTGTTTAATAAAATCAGTAAAGACCCACATAAAACAAAAAAAAAAAGAAGAAAGAAAGAACACAAGTGTACTTGATCCATTGGGTTGCTCTGATCCCAAAGTGAACATCAGGACAAGCTCCAGCCTCATTCCAGCAACCTGACCAGGGGCCAAGAGTCTCCAGGTACAGCCGGTGCCTCTAGCTCCTAAGTCCCCACAGCCTCTATGACTGGAGAGGTGTTCCTTTTGCCCCAGAGCTCCAGCCAAGGGAGACTCAGCAGCAATCACAGCAGGGTGGGAGGATGGGCAGGGAAACAAAGACCTTCCCAACAGGCACTCCTCTCCCCAGGAACCTTTTATGCAACCAGCGTACACTGGAACATTTGCACAGCATCCTATTTCTGTAAACTTGATAATATTTTTAAACATGCTGGAGGAGGAGACTCCATGGAAGAAGTCTGTGAGGAATCTTTCTGTAAAGAGAAAATTGTGCTGCTTTTCAAAAAACCGTTCCTGATTTACCTGCCTCAAAACTGCCTAGTTTTCTTACATATACAGTCATGCGCCGCATAATGATGTTTTGGTCAACAATGGACCGCATATATGATGGCGGTCCCATAAGATTAGTACCATATAGTATAGGTATGTATTAGGCTATACCATCTAGGTTTGTGTAAGTACACTCTATGATGTTCACACAAGGACAAAATTGCCTAACGACGCATGACTACTAGACAGAGAATATGTGACACAAGTTTCTTTAGCTCCGGGTCAAGCTCAAGATGACAGACGATGCATATGTGCCATGATTCCTCACAGGGGATACTGGCACATCTCACTCTGGTCACACTGGGTATCAGCAACATCAAGTTGGAATCAATGACTTATAAATGCATCCCAGATGACTCACCTGAAACATTGGATAGGTCAAGAACGTTTCCAGCATCCTCCCCTCACAGGCAGGGTTGGCTTCATACTGTTTTAAGAGTTTGTCAAAATCTCTGTTTTGCTTACAATTGGCAAGCACTTGGAGGCTGTACTGGTGATTACGCACAAATTCTTGATAAATGTTCAGCATGGGGAGCAAAATATCAAACAGATCAGCTGGAAAGAAGAAGTAAACATGGCAGTTTCTCTTGGACTCAGTAAATTATCTAAGGTACAGGGAGAGACTGTGTTCACTCAACAGGAATGGCAGAGGGTGGCTCCCAGCGCCAGGTGTCACACATGGGCGGGGCCCCAGTCCAGATGCCTAAATGACTGATCTAACAGAATGCACCCCAGTGCAGAGCCCAGCTCTAGGCCCAAATGAACCAGGATAGACCAGGGGAAACGTAAGTCCAGAGGCAGGGCCCAAACGGCAACGAGACAGATTCCCAGTGGCTAAGGGAGCTCACAGGCCAAGAAGAAGGGAAATTCAGACAGCTTTGACTGAAAAATGTTAAAGTTATTTTATTCTAATAGTAGCCATATTAAGAGAAAATCTTATATCTCTAAAGCATGCGCTTACCTAAAATTAAAGTAGGCCAGTTTGCTATCCTTGCCTTCAGTCCTTGATGAAATATTTCATGAAGAAACATGATTGTTTCACTATAAAAAATGGAAAAATAATATAATTTAGCCACTATAAAGTGTCTATTTTGTTAAAGAAGTACACTGAGTCCTTAAAGCCTTAATAAATACATGATATACACGTCTCCTGGGGCCTCCAAACTGTACACCGAATAATAATATGAATTATATGAGCCCCCAGAAAGCAGTTTATCTTTCAGACAACCTCAAAATCTCAAAGAAAATTCTGAGCTGAGCTTCAAATATTGGAAGACAGTAAGCACCAAATCAATGTCATATAATCCTCTTTACCAATTGATAATAAAGACGGCTTTCTATGCTTAGAACGTAGCACTTCAACTGATAATAATAAAATTAGTTATGATTCTTTTTCCCTTCAGATTTGATTCTAGATGATAACTCAGGGAGAAGTCTCTCTTTCACTAAAATGAGTTTAGACAGAAGGAGAGAGAGGGAAAAAATCCATAGCAAAGATTTGACAGAACTACTGCAACCACTCCTAAGACATTCAAGACAGAAATGTAAAAGAATCTTCTGAAAAGTATGGAGCCCACACAGAGATACTAAAATGAGAACTATGCATAAATTAGGGATCTAAATTCCTAAAAGTGTCAAGAAGTGTAGTTACTAAAGTCAAAATATCTTTTGCTTTCTCTCACTAGAATTAACCTACTGAAATGAGCCTTTGAAGCCTTTTCTGAACTTACACATTGACACAATCAAATACAGAATGATTTATGTCAGTGGAATACTTTGTTTCTGTTATTACTCAAATTCCATTACAAGAAATATCAAGGAGAAGTCCTCACTATTTCCAAGTGGTCCATGAAACAAAATAGACACTGCTTGGAGATGGTAATTTGTTTTCCTTTTATAGAATTTTAACTAAGCAGTTAAAATTGTTCAAGGATTTCAATCAAATCTAGTTTGGTAGATATTGTAGATTACTCTTTTGATCTCCATTCCACCCTCCTTCTAGGTGGAGAGGAAGGAGAGCTAAAACTACATTTCCCAGACTCCCTTGCAGATAGGGTTCTGGATATAAATTCAGTCCCACCAACAGATGTGCTTGGTAAGAGACAGAAGGCGGAAGTAGAGGCCTCTTTCTGCTGCTGAAAGTCAGTCATGGAGATACCAGTGCTTCCGGGGCAGTTTCAGCCCTCAGCCTCAGCATTCTAGTTTCTAGGTACCAGCTTCACGGATCTGAGAGGCAGATGAGGTGGCAATGGCGGGGGCAGTAGTTTCCTAACCTCTGGATCACATCTGTGGTGCTGTGCCCTTGAACTCAATGGTCCAGGGGCAGCTCCCTGATGTTACTTCTCCAGCCCTTCCAAAGGATTCTGTAAGCAGCGAATTCCCTCCACTCAGAGAGAGATTTCTCTTTCCTAGATTGAAAACTAACTGATACATATTTTGACACCTGGATGGTTAGAAAACAAATAAAACAATTCTGCATGTAGATAGGTAGATTATATTTTTTTAAGTATAAATTCGGTGCTGAAATTCAAAATAATTGACCTGCCTAGGGCTTCAATTTGAAAGGGAAGGACAGGGATTCTAGTTAAATGACAGCAATGATAACAAACATCCAACAGCCTCCCCTTTAAAAACATACTTCTTCAAATCTCCATCTAGGACTAGGTGTAGTAAACAATTGCTAGCCTGTATGAAGAGCTTATGGCCTCAGCTTCCAAAAAGAGGCACAGCATCTTGACTCCAAATTTAAACAATATGACAAAGCTTGTCTTCTGCATTGCAGACCACGCAACTCAATGGAAGTAAATATCCAGAGGCGGCCTAAAACCAACGTGGTGCAGGCTTTGATGGCATCACTATCAGAGTGCAGTTCACAGTCCTGTCCATTGCCATCAGAACTGTTGAAACTGCATGTTTGGATGACCGAAGTATCACCAAAATGCTAGCTGTATAGCCTGAGGATCAAGAGTACCCCTCAGGTCCCTCAGGATGTCTCACACACTTGGGTGGCATCCTTGCCACCCAATGTGGGGAAATCTCCCTCCTACCATGGAGTGATTCTTTAAAAAATAGAATGTTCTTTAAATATCAATATGGAAAGATGTCCAGGATACATTGTGAAGTGAAAAAAGCAAGTACATGTTAAAGTACATTGCTTTTTGTGTGAGCAGGGGGGAAATAAGACTCAAAATTGGATCTACATCAAGAAACACTGGAAGGATATATAAGAATCTAATGAAAATGGTTATATATATAAAGTGGGAAAATGGGGTGGGCAGAGACAGTGTAAGAGAGACTTCTAACTGTCGTTTGATGTTTTCATGTTATTTTGACTTTTGAACCATGTAAATGTATTATCTACTCAAAAACAAATAAATAACTAAAATCTTAAGTAAAACACCCAAGCATTCCCTTTCCCCTCTTCTCTCCTTCCTTTCTTTATTTTTTCCACAGCACTCATCACCATATAATATATTACGTAGTTCAGTCATTCACTATTTATTGTCTGTCTTCTCACATAAAAATTCAAGTTCCATGAAGGCAGGGATCTGCTTTGTTCACTGATGAATCCTCAGCAGTAAGGACACTATAAATATTTATCGAGAGAATAAATTTACGAGAGAGTCTCAGGTCCTCTGTCAGTTTTTGCTCTACCTAACATACTTCTGTATAAATTACATGCAAAGACCCATTGATCACACCATTTCCCTCAGTTTATGAGGGACATTATCTTCCCCAACACACACAATGACAAGAAAACATATGCCAAATAGAGAAGAAAACCAGAAAACTAGATTCCAAGAAGCAAGACAAAGATATGCAAATTTGGACTAATGAAACACAAATGATACCTTTTTTATTTTCAATACCATAAATTCATAAAGGTGAAGTTATGATACCTATTCTTTTAAGAGTAAAGTAAAAATTCTGTTAAGAAATTCAAACAGGTTTTTCACATGACTCTTTGATTTATGTCAAAACAGACCTGTTGAGAAAAATACTGCTGACATCGTCATGGCTGATGGGGGGCTTCTTGGAGCTGGCTGCCATTCGCAGGGGCCGGAGGAAGCCATTGACCAGGATGTAGAGCTGGTGCACATACTCCGACTCAGCCTCAACCATGGTGAACACAATCTGGTTTCTCTTCCTCATACTTTCAGCGTGAGGAGAACAAATGTAATCCTGTACAATGGTCTTCCATTTCCTTCTACACAACCATCCTCGCATGAAGCTCTGAACCTACAGAACACCAACAACAACATCAAAAACTGAAAAAGAATCTCAGAAGGTGTGATACTGGCTTTCTTAAGCCTGTCAGTAAGGGGTCCATCTTGCGCCATGTAAAACACTGCTCTTTCATTGGCCTACTAATGGTCCCACCACTAGAATAAATAATGGCAGGCTTTTTCTGGATAGCAGAAAAAAGACGAGTTCAAAAATAAAATTTTTTCTCAGGTTCACAAATTTCTTCCATAAGCTTAAGCTCTTTAGGTCTGCCTATATGGACACCAGAATATAATAATATTCTATATTTACTTATTAACATTTCAAGAAAGAAATAAATTGAAGGCTTATTCTTTAACAATACAAAATCAGATATTTAAAAAAAAAATTTTAACTGTGGTTAAAAAAAGACATAACATAAAATTTACCATCTTAACCATTTTTAAGCGTACAGTTCAGTAGTGTTAAGTATATTCACATTGTCGTACAACAGATCTCCAAAACTTTATCATCTTGCAAAACTCAAACTCTATACCCCTTAAACAATGTCCCATTTCCCCCTTCTCTCAGCCCCTGGTAAACACCATCCTACTTTCTGTTTTGTGAATCTGACTACTTTAGATAACTCATAAAAGGGGAATCATACAGTATTCATCTTTTTTGTGGCTGGTTAATTTCACTTAGCATAATGTCCTCAAGGTTCATCCATGTTGTAGCATGTGCCAGGATTTCCTTCCTTTTTAAGGCTGAATAATATTCCATTGTGTATATATACCACATTTTATTTATCCATTCATGTGCCAATGAACATTTGGGTTGCTTCCACCTCTTGGCTATTGTGAATAATGCTGCAACGAACATGGGAGTGCAAATATCTCTTCAAGATCCTGTTTTCAACTCTTTTGGATATATATCCAGAAGTAGGATTGCAGGATCATATGGTAGTTCTATTTTTAAATTTTTGAAGAACCTTCATACTGTTTTCCATAGCAGCTGCCCCATTTTACAATCCCACCAACAATGCACAAAGGTTCCAATTTCTCTACATCCTCATCAACACAGTATTTTCTGGTTTCTTTGACAGTAGCCATCCCAATGGTGATATTGCACTATAGTTTTGATTTGTATTTCTCTGATGCTTAGTGATATTGAGCATCTTTTCATGTGTATATGATTTCTTCAAAGATGATATACAAATGGTCGTTTCTCCATTATATGGAGAAATGTCTCTTCAAGTCCTTTGCCCATTTTTAAACCAAGTTATTTGATTTTTTGTTGTTGTTGTTGATGAGATTTTTTTTAAGCTTAAAAAATAAGTATTAGAGATCAGCTCATGCAACCTTTTCCTTTTAAAGATGAGTAAACTAAATCTCACAGTAAGTCACACAGCTAGGAAAGAAAGCTGCAACCAGACTTGGTGTTCTTTTGTCTGCCTTTTGTCAACTGTAAGGACTCTCTTTCCCAGCCACATGGGCAAAACACACATTAGCGATTTACCATCGTGATTATTTAGTGAAAAGAAACATGAAATATAATTAAAAATAAATTTTGTAGAAAACAAGATAGCCTCTAAAATTGATCTGAATTCCCTAGGTATGATTTGAAAACTAACAGGCAAACCTGACAAAGTGCACTGGCCTGTGTGTTTTAGCCAACAGATATTTACCAAACATCTTTCAAATGCCCAGGTAAATGCTGGGTGCTCAGCAGACAGGTATATGTCATAATCCTTACCCCAAAGGCTCTGCCATTAACCTGCTGGGGGACCTTGAAGTCTGGTCCTCCATTTCCTTATCTATAAAATAATTGACCCTCAAAATCTAAGTCCTTTCTAAATATAAAAAATTGTATGATAATTTATTAGGATTTGTTATATGTGGCAGATTCAGCAAGAAAGTAGGTTACAAATTCACATATAATTGAAAGCATTAAATCACTATCAAATCCTTTTTTAGTACCATTGTTTTCTATTCAACACATTCTTACACTTTTTATTTTTTCCATACTATTTCACCCATATGGTCTAAATTATCATGCATTTAAACAACTACTCTTCTTTGGCAACGTTTAAAATTCTCTCATTATCTACTGATGTTGCCAGCATACTATCAATTTTCATACAGGCATTCATATAGCTGCCATACTTTAAAGAATAAAAATTAACCACATTTTAATAGAATTATGTGGGGGAAATTATATGCATCTTATTTGGAGAAATCTAATGAGAAATTTCTGTGAATTATAACCAATTTCAACTTTTGGTCTCTTGAAGTTAAAAACTTATGTTTGCTAACCTCAGAATAGAGAAACTAATTCATTTGTAAACACCCCTTTCCACAGAGACGTTAGTTTGATTTGGGATATAAAGGACAATAACAATATTTAACAAGTTCAAAAAGAGGTGTTTAAAAATATTTACTTCTATTAAAAAATAAGAAGGTAGAAAATGTAAAAAGTATTTATTTTTTCATTATTCTTCCATTTAACAGAAGTATTTTCAAAAATCAACTTAATTGAATTTTGTGTTAAATAAAACTTTTCCATTTACTTGGGCAGGTATTACCTGCTAAGAAATAGCTGGTTCACTTACTTATTAACAGACCAGTTTCTACAACAGGACTGACCACTGTATTTTACTGATATCTTTGTTTCCATGCAACTGCATACTATTAAAAGAAAGGGAATAGCATTAATCTTGTAACACAATAATATAAACCAAATTCAATTTAAAAAATTTTTAATTCTAAGAAAGGAATGATGTTATTTTCTCTTTTTTTTTGAAAACGGAGAACACTGCAACTTAGTCCTAAGAATAATTTCTATTTCAAATTCTGAGAAATATTTAAAGTTTTGTTACAACTAAAGAGGAATAATTATTTAGTACAGAAGAACAAGAATAAGAAAAAATTAAAAAGAAATAAAGATTTGAAGATGTGTATCCAAGAAAAGTTCTTTAACTGTGAAGCTCTTCACGTAATGTTACCAAAACTGAGTAAGTGCCTTACACAGGACAAGATTATAGAATTAAAATCTAGAGGACATAAATCAAACACAGTAGACTGGAGTGAGCATCAGTGTCTGGTTAATTGCAAAAATTGTATAGTTATAAATAACAATAAGATGGAAGGATCTGCTTATTATGTGGATGTTAAACAAGAAAGAAACAACAATAATAAACTAGAAATCTGAGCAGATATATTGATTTACTCGATCTCCTCATATGCTCAAAAAAATCTTTTCCAAATAAGCACTGAAGAGTAGAGCTAAAAGAAATATTTTTGAAATGTGATTTAAAAAATGTTCCCCCCACGGGCCGGCCCCGTGGCTTAGCGGTTAAGTGCGCGCGCTCTGATGCTGGCGGCCCGGGTTCGGATCCCGGGAGCGCCCCGAGGCACCACTTCTCCGTCCAACGCAAGGCCGAGTCCCACGTACAGCAACTAGAAGGATGTGAACCTATGACGTACAACTATCTACTGGGGCTTTGAGGGGAAAAACTGAATAAATAAAATCTTTAAAAAAAAAAAAAAAAATGTTCCCCCCAAATATGAAAGCAGCACAAAATCAGGAGGTTCAACAGCACTGAATTAACCCAACTGGAGAACACTATTGTCTTGATGTCCCGTTTTGGCATCCTTCCCACATAGTCCAAAAGAGGATTCCCAGAACTGGAAAGAAATCTCAAACTGAAACTTGTCCAGAGAAGTAGCCATGTCTGGTCACTGTGAAGGGTGAGTCCAGGAGCTATTAGAACAGAAACACCAAGGTTGCCCTCAGCTCAGGAACAGGGTGGCAAAGACATCACTACAGAACAGACAACTGGTCCCCATGCTCCCTCAAAGCTGGAAACCCCTAGTGTCCTACCTTTTTAATCTTCTTTATGTCCGGATCCTCATCTTCTTGATTGCTTTGGTAAGGTCGCATTCGTTCCTTGGTTTTATTAAGAGCGATAATCTATAACACAAAATTGGTCCATTTCATGATTTGGGAAACACTGGATTACGGCCATAACCCATATGAAGTTATGCCAACAAGGTAGCCTAGGAGATTCTCAGAAACATTCACTTTTCATGCACCCTCTCTTCCTTTGGTGCTGAGGTAGGGGAAGCATGAACTTTACCCGGAGTCTATTTTGTTATGTTACTAACAAAAGTGCTTATAAGAAGTGACTGTGGAAAGTGTGAACTGGGATCTGGGTTAGAAGAAATGTTAGCCCAAAACTCAGCCTGACTGCCAGTGATGACCAGGCCAAGGCCTTCTCAGGGGCTCAGTGACACACCAACCATCTTGCCTGAAGGCAGCTGCCTGTAATGTCCTGTGGTCTCCAAATGCAGTGACACACAGCTCAAAGTTCTTACTTCCCATAATCAACCCGTAGCCTTCCAAGTACACACGGTACAGCCGACTCACAGATTTCCTTGGGAAAATGGTAACTGCAAAGGGAACCTCAGAGCCCTGGGGTTGGTCCAAGCCAGCCAAGAAAAGGTAAAAAGGTAAAAGGATTGAAACAGCCTGGGATCCCTTTATATCTCCAGCTCAGTTTTATGACCTATGAAGGGCAACTCAAGACCAGGTGGACTCTCAACCAGTGAAAAAACTCTCTAGACTATCACTCAATGGCAGGCTCTTACCAATGTGAGAACCTCTACAGATTTACTAACAAGCAAACACTTAAGAAGTTAAGAGATCATAATCACCCCCTCTGACCTGTCTTTACATTTTGTCCCCAATACTAAATCCACTCCACTGCCATTTTCTGGCAGGGAAATGGGAAATAAAAGGAGTAGGAAATAAATTATGGCTCCTGTCAAGCGGCCACACAAGACATACCTGCTAGTGACAGTTTTTAGCTGCAATCTATATTCAGACTAAAATAGAACATAGTGAAGACAGAAAAGCACATACAAATAAATACTGGGGAATGTCGCTTGGTGCTGAGTCTCTCTCGTGGAGTAAATGTCAACCTCTTTCACTTAGCAGACAAGCATCTGCTCTAGCTTACTGTGGCAAAGAAAGAACACAATAATTTTGTTTTAAATTACAGTGCCTGATATAGTCTTTTAAAATGCAGGTTTGTTAAGCTTTCTGTTGTTGTTTTCACTATATCAAATTTCAGCGTTGAATTGGGAAGTTAACAACTCTAATGATACAGTAAACACAGTCTGCAACTTATCATCACCAGAGAAGCAATCAGATTCCAGTTGGAATTAGCTTGTACCCAGGCTCTGTCTACTGGAGGTGCTGCACACAGGCAGCAGGAGGTAAAAACCCCTCACAGGACTCACAGAGTATGTCTTAGAGGAAGATGTGAGGAAACAAAGAGGAAAATGTTGTCCAGAGACAGTAAAAGCGACAAGAAAGTTACCAAGTCAGAGAAGCCTGAATTGCTCTGTCAACAAGGATACAATTAGTAGGTTTCATTCTGTTCTATTCTCTTTGAAGCTAAGAAGATGCTAATATACCTCTAGACAGAAACAGGGGGGAAATCTTGTTTTTCACATTCCTCTTCAATTTTTCAGTTATTGACTACTTCCTCTGAGGAAAGACAGGACAGCAAAGAAAGGTACACTCAGGTTTCTGAGTATAAACACAGGCACTGAGGAGACAGGGAGAACCCCGGACCACTGCCATGGCTGCAGACTCCATGACCACCCTCACTTCTCACTTGGTGTCAGTCTCACTTTTCTGGGGAGGCAGAGCCTGAAAAGTTCACACTTGAGGTTGGGGGAGAACTGGAGGTAGGAAGGAATTCCAAATTCATGAAAAAATGCATGCTAGCAAATGTCTTATACTTTAACTCAAATGTGTTTTTCAAAATTCAAGAGTAGAGCAGACTCCTTAGATCTAGAAAAAGTAAAGTCTTTCTCAATTCATTTTTGGTCCTTCCTTAATTGTCTTTTTGGACTTTAACTGCATCTATGACAAACTCACAATTATCATTATTATAAGAGTCAGTGTGAAGACAGTTAAATATTATAGTCATCTCCTGAAAATCTGATCAAATGAAGGACATCAGGAGCACAAATATTTAAAAAATAGCATATTATCCTGACATTTTGTTGTAGCATATTTACCTAATCCTAACATAGACATCAGATTCATTTCTAATGTAGATCAGTAGCCCAGCTATGTACATGTTGATGGCAGAGGAACTACGTTTGGGATTAACATTTTGCTCTGATAGGCCTTAGGTAATCATGAGATGACAGTAAAGGTGAAACAATGAAAAGGAATCTATTGACTGGGAAATACCTCTGATTTAAGCCTCTCGATTTCTGTATCTTGATCTTCAAGTTGATGCCGTAGTTGGGTAGCTGCAATTTTTTCTGTCTCTACGATCTGAACTAGATGAATGTACTTCTGCATTAACACTTCCCTCTCAATCAATATGTCTGCATAACTTAAGAGAAAATTACACAGTTAGTCATTGAGATATTGTTCTACTACAGTTCCATATAGAACAGCATACACTACATTTACAAAAGAAACCATGAACATAGTTTGTTTGGCTAACTCTACTTTATACAAACGTTAACTTTTGGCTGATATTTGATATCCTTTAACTATACAGAATTTGAATTATTATCATTTTATATATCCTTTACTAAGACTTCATTTAATGATGGCTGGCACCCACAATTTTATCATATAAGTGAGAAAAGTGCAAAGGAAATCTATCGCTTTATAAAGAAAATAGTGCATCTCCTTTAACAAAGAAACTAAAGTCTTTGAATTGGTGGCACATACTAGATTTCCAGGGATGATATTCAAAATATTCTACCGGGTAAGGCACTAGCCAATCCAAACAGACCTGCCACCAAGCAGAGTGAATGCAGTGACCATCAGAACAGGCACTGGCCGGAAAGAACTATGACGATGTATCAGTGACCACCAGCCCTACTTGGTTCTCTGCAGAATGTGAGACTACTGACTACTCTCTTTACAAAACCAATAGAAGCAAAAATTTCATCGTAGATTCTTTGGGCCCTAACTCCAGCAACCTAACCTGTGTCCACTTCTTTGGCCACGTGTGGTAAAGGCAAAACTCTCTCTTAGATTTTTATAGATTATGCAATTCCAGGCATCTGGAATTTTGTCTCCGGATCTTCTTGCACTATACAGGATGTTAAAATGTATGTTCCTTCAGCCACATAATCTTTCCCAAATGGTATGATAACAGCAATAATTAATAATAGTTACTATTTATTAAGTGCGTAAGATGTACCACATATATTCTCATCTTGTCCTCCCAGCAACCCCAGGAGAGACACTTTATCCATCCCAAATGTACAAGGAAAGAATTTGATCCTCACAGAGGTCACACAGCTAGCAGGTGGCAGGGTTGGGAGTGAAATCAAGGTCTGTCTGCCCCCTAGCCCATGTTCTTAACCATTAGCTAAACTGTCTCCCTAATGAGAAATAGCACACCGGACACAAACAACAATGTTGCAGCAGATCTGTTTTGAGATATCTGCCCAATCTTCCACCCACTTACCTCTTCTTTGGGAACTTGGGCCATGGCAACCATATTTATACCAGAAAACCTGCCCTCATGACCACATTAAACTGGTCTAAAAAGAGATAACTGGCCCAAGCTAAAACAATTAGATCTTTTCTCCGTGGAATCTGGGATTGTGCCTCTGACCTATTTGCTTGCACTGAGATGACATGAACTTGGAAACTCAGGGTGCCATTGGTGGGCAGCCATAATTGGCCACATCCACGCCAAAACAAAGTGAGTAGGCTGAGAGAGCAAAGAATAAGCAGATGTTCAGAAAAATAGAGACAGGAGAGACAGAAAGTCTGCGACAGAAAAGTAATGACTACCTGGGTTACTGTCGGCTTTCTAGCTTCTGGTTCCAGACGCTCATGACATCTGAATATAATTTTTACCTTTGGATTCAGTGAGATACTGCAGTTTCCATCTAATAAATTCTCTTTTTAACCTAAACTAGTTCGAAATAGGTTTTTGTTACTTGGAACTAAAAGAGTCTTAAGACAATTCTAAAATCACAATTTTAGTTCAATTATCTCAACATCCTCAGCACTTACATCGCGTGTGCCATCAGTGTTAGAAAAAGTGTCAGCAATATTTTTAAGTCACTTATTCTAAGAAATTACCCTAAGTGAATAGAAAGAAAAGCTGTGTAAGCAGGAGGAGGAGAAAAGAAGAAAAAAAGAATCTTCATAGAAATATGCTTTTTGGAACCCTAAAGGGAGGAAGTAATCACAGAGCATGAGAAAAGTAATTATAATAAAAATTCTGCCCTTTCAACTCAATTTTATTGTGAGTATGTCAAATTTATTACAAATATATTAGATCAGCATTAGGTAGCAAAACAGTATTTTATTTTCTCTTATAAAAAGAAAAAGTCCAGTCCAGGACACGCGGCTGATTTCATGCAGAGTCATCATCGACATCTGCCTCTCATCACTTCCAGGACCCCACTGAAATGCTAGGAAAATTGTTTTCTGCTTAAGGAATGAAACCATAATAGCATTATAAAACAGGAAAATATGCCATCAACAGACCAGAAGCCTTATGAAATTCCACAAAGAGAAAAACCAAGTATACTTAGAGTGGTGGGAAAATTAGAGTAGAGGAAACCACACATGCAGACACCTCACCGAAGCATGGTTCCCCCCAAGAGTGGCCAGAGAAGCTCCAGACTCAGAATCAACAAATCCAAAGAACGGGAGCAAGCAAGGGGATGACCATTACAGCCTTTCACTAAACAAGTGCCTCAGAACACCTCAAAGTTAGGCTCCCCCTCTTCCCACCTCCCAAATCAAGACATAAAAGTCATAACTGGCAGCAGTGACATGCCCTCAGGTCACAGCCCAAGACCTGTTCTCTGTGGAAAGGGGCCAACTTCCTAAAGAAGGCTCCTAATGAGGAAGCTGGACTCAGCGAGAACAGAGCTTGGCTTTTCTCCAGACATCCACTGGAGACACAGGGCAAACCAAAAAAGGAAAGGCACTGAGAGGGACCAGGAGTGAAACACTCTGCATTAATCTTCTACTGTGTGACAAATTACCACAAACTTAGTGGTCTACACAACACGTGTTTATTGTCTCATAGTTTCTGAAGATCAGGAGTCCAGGCTCAGTTTAGCTGGATCCTCAGTGCAGAGTCTCACAAAGCTGCAATCAAGGTGTCAGCCGAGGTACACTCTCATGTGGAGGCTTGAATGGGGAAGAACCCTCTTCCAAGTTCATTCAGGTTGCTGAAATTCATTTTCTTGCAGGTATAGAACTCATGCAGTTTGCTTCTTCAAGGCCAGCAGGAGAGCATCTCTGACCTCAGGGAGGGCCCCAGTTCCTCTATGAAGGTTTTCATCTTATTAAGCCCCACCCAGAAAAATCTCCCTCTTAATTAACTCGAAATCAACTGATTTAGAACCCTAATTACATGTGCAAAATCCTCCTTCCTTTGTCTTACCATGTAACCTAATCAAGGGATTGACAATCCCATCATGTTTGCCATATACTAGTGGCTGATAGCAAATGACAGGTTCCACTAAAGGGTATGGAATTATACAACAGGGAGTCCCAGCCGGGCTTCCTGCTGTCTGCCCACATACCTGAAAAGGAAGCCTACACATGTGATGCAGACCCTGGATTCACAGTCACAGAGTAAACCCAGGCCAGCTACCTCGAATAACCCACAAGGTCCTTCATTTAGAAATGAAGATCACTGGACACTTGAGAAAACCAACCCCAAAAAGAAAAGCCTCTGTAGTAGGCAGCATCTAAGATGGCCCCCAGTGATTCCTGCCTTCTGGTATTCACGTCCTTATGTAACCCCCTCCTCTTGAGTGAGAGCTGGACCTAGCCGACTCACTTCTAAGGAAGAGAATGTGGCAAAAGTGATGGGATGGCACTTCCAAGATCAGCTTACAAGGAGACTCTGGCATCTGCCTTGCTTGCCTTCTCTTGCTGTCTTGCTGGTTTGCTCCTAGGGGAGCCAGTGCCATGTTGTGAGCTGCACTATGGAGAGGTCCAGATAAATAGAAACTGAGAGAGGCCCCTGGCCAATTGCCAATGAGAAACCAAGGCTTCAATCCAACAATTGGTAAGGAAGTGAATCTAGCCAACAATCACTTGAGTGAACTTGGAAGCAGACCCTTCCCCTTTTGAACCTTCAGATGAGACTGCTGACCTGGCCGACACCTTGATTGCTGCCTTGCGAGAGACCTTCAGGCAGAGGCACCCAGCTAAATCCTGCCTGGATTCCTGACCCACAGACACTGTGGGGTGACAACAAATTGTTTATTGTTTTAAGCATTGTGGAGCAAATTATTAAGCAGCAACAGATAATAAACACAGCCCCAGATGAACAAATGGAAAAGACGCTAGAGGAAACAAGGCTAATTCCAGCAACAGAGACTTATTATCTTCACAGAGATATGAAACGATATTAGAGCCATAAGGCAAAAAGGGGCTGCATGGAAAAGAAGTAATTAAATAACAAGAAGTGTTCTTAGAAACAAAAAATGATATTAAAATTTTACAGGTCAGTGAATGTGCTAAACAATAAACCAGACTGAAACCTCAGCTGGGTGGTTGGAGAGATAAAAAAGAACACTCAATAAAAATACAAAGAGATGGGAAATATGAAAGAAAAATTGAGCGACATGGAGTATAGATCCAGGAGGTCTAATATCTATCTTAGGGGAGTTCCAGGAGAAAAAAAAAAGGCTGTGATGGGGAAGAAATAATCAAGAAATGGAAGAAACCTTCCATGAACTGAACATGGCACAGTTTGAATAGAAAGGATAATCCAAAAGCCAGACAGGAAACAACAAGTGTTGGAGAGGATGTGGAGAAAAGGGAACTCTCATACACTGCTGGTGGGAATGCAAACTGGTGCAGCCACTATGGAAAACAGTATGGAGACTCCTCAAAAAATTAAGGATAGAACTACCATATGATCCAGCTAGTCCACTGCTGGGTATTTATCCAAAGAACTTGAAAACACCAATGCGTAAAGATACATGCACCCCTGTGTTCATTGCAGCGTTATTCACAATAGCTAAGACTTGGAAGCAACCTAAGTGCCCATCAAGGGACGAATGGATAAGGAAGATGTGGTATATATACACAATGGAATACTACTCAGCCATAAGAAACGATGAAATCCAGCCATTTGTGACAACATGGATGGACATTGAGGGTATTATGCAAAGTGAAATAAGTCAGAGTGAGAAGGTCAAATACCGTATGATCTCACTCCTAAGCAGAAGATAAAAACAACAACAGACAAACACATAGAGACAGAGATTGGATTGGTGGTTACCAGAGGGGAAGGGGGGAGGGAGGAGGGCAAAAGGGATAATTAGGCACATGTGTGTGGTGATGGGTTGTAATTAGTATTTGGGTGGTGAACATGATGTAATC